AAGAGATAAAGAGAAAAGCCTCATCCAGCCTCCCACCCATCCCAGGTCCCTGACAGGGGGCATGCTCTAAGGGTCCTGCTCATACAGTTTTGATAGTTCAGCAGTTCTAAATTGCTGCCAGTCTCGCCTCTCCAAGCACAATGAAATCTTTTCAGAATCCACTGGCTGACTAAGTAAGTCTCTTAATGGCTGGGTTCTGAGATCAGCTGTGGGGAGCAGGGTGCTAAAGCCGCTCCTGGGATTGGAAGGGGCTGTTGCAAGATGGCGGCTGGCCCAGGGCCAGGAGATGGAGCTGGTGTCACCAGCAGGTAAACAGGAAGTCACCGGGTTAGGCTAACCCCGCCCCCCGCTGTGATTACTGGCCTATCATGTAGCGCCAAGTGGACCCACAGGAAGAAGTGATTGGTGGAGAACCAGACCACAAATAGGCACAGTGACCATCGAAAGCCTAGGACTTGGTCACCTTGTGGCAACGGTGCCCCATGGGCCAAGTCCTGGTCATTGGGGCCAACCTGGCCCGAGTACTCTCCATAAGCAGGTTGCCACCACTGGAGAGGGCTGCTATCACCCGAGCTGCCAAGGTTGAATTCCTACCACCTAGTTTCCTGCTGTCACAGGTGGTGGTTGTAGGGCAGGGCTAGAGGCTTTAATCCCATCCCAGAATTTCCTCCTGGTGTACTCATCATAGGGTGAGAAATTCTCTCCAGCCTCCCAGCAGCCAGAACTCGGTCACCATGTGGCAGCAGTGCTCATGGGCCGAGTCCCGGACTTTGGGTACTACCTGACCCTCCGCAAGAGGGTCGCCACCACGGCAGAAGGCTGCTGAGAATGAGCACTTTAAAAGAAAATACTGTGAAGCTTTCTACTGTTTAAGAACTGTTGATCCTTTTAGCACAGCCCATAGCCCATCTCCTGTCTGTCAGCAAACCTTGGTGGTTCTGTATTCAGAGCAGATTTGGACCCTCATCCCTTCTTAACCACCTCTGCTGCCGTCCTCTGGGTCAGCCACCAATGCTCTCATAAGGATTCTTTCAGTATCTTCAGTCTGGTTCCTGAGCTTCTGTTTTTGCTCTTTATCAGTCTTACCAGCATAGCACCCAGACTAATCTAATTCAGATAGAATCACATCCGTGTTGTTAACAACAATCAGAGCCTAAGTCCTTCTGGTCAGGTCACACATACACACACCTCCCTTTATTTTTTCTGTAGTCCTTCCCGTCATTTGACATGTATTTGGTTTTTACAAATCATTTTTGTTTCCTGTCTTCTGTTATTAGGTTTGTTTTTTATTTCCCTTGTTTGTTCCTGAATGTATTTAAAGAACCTGGAACAGTACTTTTTCCAGTGTAGGCACAGAGTAAAGATTTGTTAAGTAAAATATGCTCTTATAAAAGTCAAATACCAATTAAAAATACTGGTTTCTAAGCTGTTTGTAATAAGCTGAGTTATGCACTCCATTGTTTTATTGGCGTAACTGTCTACAAGCAGTTGGAACCTGAAGGAATTTAATTGAAAAGGTTTGCTTCCATTTGGAACATAACTTTGCATTGTCCTCAGAGTGTGCACCCTTGAACATCTGTGCTATAGATTATCGATCTGTATTGCAAACATTGATTGATAGCTATTGGTGATTTATACTTTTCAGTTTCACAATCCTTTCACATATATATATAGTATATATTTTTAAATCATAGAATTTACTCCATAAGCATAAGTGAGCATCACAGATGTCTTCTACTATGAACAGACACCTAAAATTCTAGTGGTTAACAGTGTGAGGAAGATTATATCCAATAGTCTCACCATCAGATTAACTTCTGTAAGCAGCTTCTGAATGCTTGTGGGACAGTGGAATTAGAATGTGAGTTTCCCATGACCTTCTTGGATCCCTTTCCCCCACCTTATATTTGCTCATCAGAATTCTGGCTATGTTGTGCTGCCAATCAAAAACTAGTTGTCTATGTTTCACGAGGGTATTCTCTTTCCTAACTTTAATGCTTTTGTTCACCTATTTCACCAGGAAAGTTAGCAAGCTAAATTATGGTATTTGAATATATGTAAATGTATTTCCATGGCAACAAATCACAATCATGCATGTGTGATTAGAATGAATTGTCTTTGTCGTGGAGCAAAGACCTGATTAACCCATTGAACACAATAAATGAGGAGCAAAGCGAATTATGTGCTTTCCTTGCACTGCCTGCAGAAACTGTTAGTCTTAGAAAAAAACTAAAAGATCATTTCGCTGCACACTTAAATAGCATAGCATGGAGGATCCTTGAACCCACAAAGGACTCAAAGGGAAAGATCGCAAGAATGTCCTTCACTCATGTTGGACCAGAGCTCCATTCTTAGGAGTGACTTAGCTGTGTGTAAGACCAAATGGATATTGCAGGGATATTTTTGCTTTTTTTTTTTTTCCCAGTGGGTTCATTGAGTTTAAGAGTTGCTTGAAAACATAGGTAATGACCAAGTAAGAGTTCTTACTGTTAGATCATTTTTCTGTGCCTGTTAAATCAGCATAGATTTTGAGGCAGATTTTTTATGCTTCCTCCTCATATTTCTTATGGATTCTTGTGTTATTGGATTGTAGATGATAGCTATATTCCACTCTTCCCACTGGGTTGTGAAGTATTTCATGTTTGAAGATAACAAGGTATTGTAATGAAGCAAGGGGAAAAAAAAGTGAATTTTTGTTGAATACTAGTGAAGTACCAGGCAGTGAATGGTGTATGTGTGTGTGTGTGTGTGTGTGTGTGTGTGTGTTTCTAGATTCAATCCCCAATATTTTCCTGAGCTGAAAATAGCCCAACATTGATGTGTGAGGATATAATTTTGTTGTCCTGTTACTGTGATAGGAACTGCCTGGCTTTTAATTTTTGTGAGCCCTCAGTGATAAACCTAAAACATTTTATAACCAAAATAACTTAAGGATCATTAAAATTAAGTGCTAATGTTCTGTTGTTTTAATAAACCAGTCAGTATGTAATAGATGTGTAGAACTCAGGCAGATATTTGACAGTCTCTCCTTATAAACAAGGTACTTTGCAGGGTGATAGACCAAACAGTTAATAGCATTCATTGCTAGTTGCAAACTTCCCAAAATTGTTCTGCAGAGATCTAGAGTGGCATGTTATAGGCTTCTGTCCTTGTGCCTAGCCTGTTTGTAAAATGTGCTGAGAATTTGGATAATGGCTCAGGGGGATGTTTACTAATGCATAGCAGATGAGAAAGAGGAAGATCATTATTGAAAACTAAATGCCAGTTAGATTGAATGGTAATTAATAGTGATAATTCTTGGGGCCAGAGCTGTGGCACAGCAAGTAAAGCTACCACCTACAGTGCCAGCATCTCTTATGGAAGCCTGTTAAATCCTGGCTAGTCCTCCCTGATATGGCTGTTTGGTATTGTGCTTGGGAAAGCAGTGGCCCTTGCCACTCAGGTGGGAGACCTGGATGATTCTTGGCTTCTAACTGGCCCATCCTGGCTGTTGCAGTCATATGGGGAGTGATTCAGTAGATGAAAGATCTCTTTCTTGCTTTCTGAAATCTGCTTTCAACTAAAAATATCCTTTTTTAAAATGGTGATAGCTCTTGTTATGAATTTTTTAGAAATCACTATGAAGTTATATAGTGGAGAACTGTCCAATTTGTAGATGAGATAGAAAGTACTTGCAGGATACGATAAGGATTATCTGTACCCATCACAGTTGTTGGAAAGGATCTGAAGGCCATGAAAACAGATGCTCAAGATAAAAGGCTGAGCGATAACTGTTTCCACTGACTTCTGCAGGATTGGGTGGGTTGTTGGTTTGGGATGTTATGCTTTCATTATTGTTACATGAGAATGTGTGGGCTGTATAATACTTAGTCCATATAAAAGAACACATGAAATATAAGCTGTAAAGTAAAATGATAAATACCTAGAAACCTTATTTACAGGTAACAGCTAGAACTCTCTGAAGACCATTCCAGCTGTATCTTCCATTATCTTGAAGTTATTACCCTTTCCCTTTTCACAAATAATTCTACCACATTATGTGTGCATTTTTAAGAAATGTGCATTTCTTGATTTTATTGAAATGAAATTCTGATATGTATAGCTGTTTTACCACTTAAGTTTTACATCTAACATTTTTTTAAAAAGGTTTTCAATTTTAAAGGCAGAGTTGCAGAGAGGGGTGGAGCCAGAGAAGACATATCTTCTATCTGCTTACTCTTTTCCCAAATGGCCACAATGGTGGGGGCTGGGTCAGGCCAAACTCAGGAGCCTGAAACTTCAGCTGGGTCTCCCATAATGGTGCAGGAGTCTGAGGTCTTGAATCATCTGCTCTTTCCCCAGATGCCTTAGCAGAGAGTTGGGTTGGAAGTGGAGCAGCTAAAACTTGAGTTGTTGCCTGTATGGGGTGCTGGTGTTAAAAGTGGCAGCCTTGGCTCCAACATTAAAATTCATGTATATCAACCCTTCTCAGCCAGAATTACTCATATGGACCACAGAACACAGAATGGTTTTGGTGGCTGTTTTCTGAGTTCTTCCAAGGAATATACATGAATAATACCATAGCTTTTTGATTCAAAGGAGAGAGTTTACCTAGGCACATGTATAGCTGCTTTAGAGTGGGCAGTTAGAGCTTAATTTTCTATTGAGACCTGGTTAAAAGGGCTAAAAAAAAGGGCTAAATTGTTACATGTCACTAGGGTTATTTCCTTTTTTGCTGTAAATTACTCCATTTGGGAACATGCTGAAAGTTACTGAAACATCCTTCTATTTCCAGTTTTTGTTTGTTTTTTGGTTTAGGTATTAAGAACAGTATTGTGAGGAGTGTTCTTGACTATATCCCCATGTGTGCACAAATCAGTTTCTCTAGGTATCCGTATGAGTGGAGTTGCTGGAAACTGTTGCATTTGTAATAAAGACACATACAGGAGTGAGCATAGAGTGACAATTGGGAATAGGTCTGACATGTTACAGCCAAATATGTATTTTCTTTGTTTTCTTAGGGATTGAAGAGGTTAATGACCATTTGCCAGAAACACTTCCCTACAGATCCATCAAAATGTGTAGAATACAATGCACTGTGAAATCTGTGTGCTGTGTGTAAGTAACAGTGAGAGAATGAAGAGCTGCAGGACACAGCCTTCTGAAATTACTGCCAGGAATGCTGAAGCAAGAAGACGACGCAAGTTTCATCTCTGGGTTGTATCTGAAACAACTGCTAATTGACTTTAAGAACTGTGTTGGCTTTTCCTGTGATAAGAGCTGCAAATTGATTTTCGTGTCTTACCTTTATTTCCAGTCATTCAAAAATTGAATTTTAGAGGCTTTTTCCAAAAAGTTTAAAGGTGTAAACAGTATGCTGTTTAAATTATCTTTTCCAGTAACAAAAGTTACAGTTAGATAATTAAAAGGGAATGTTGATGGACTTGCTTCTGTAAAATATGGTAATTTGCACATTGTCTTTTGTCTTATATTTATAGAAAATATTTTTATATATTTCAACAAAAATTTGGAACCACTGAATGAAACTTTAGAGTTTTCTGAACTTTTGCAGTCTTGCAGAATTTTAATGTTATTACTGTTAATTCACGTATTATTTTTCTTGCATTTCAAAGTTTGCTTTTATAGTCAAGTATAAATTTTATTATTTGTCATCTCTCAAGACACGATTAATGAACGGGAAATAGAATTTTGAAAAACAGAGCTGGTATCTTGCACCCACATTATTTTAAAACACAATAATCCTAGTACATTAACATCCAAGATAAGAGATCTAGCTAGACAGGGTAGCTAGACAGCAGTGAGGAGACGAGGGTGATGCTGGTAGACCTGTAGCAGTTTTGTTTCGAATTACACTCCAAACAGCAAGAGGGTACTGATGCTGACCTCACTACCTGAGGCAGCATGTTCTGGCACTGGTTGTCCACAAAATCACAGTCTAGGTGAGGGTGTAGTCTAGCTCCTATACAGTGTCATGTTAACTCATTGTGACGGATCAGTGTACCTTGGAAGTTGAGAGGACTGCTTTGACACAGTAATTTGAGTAAATGGGATATTCTTAACCAGGTGCAGAAATTTCCTACTTCAGATTCAGCCCCACATTGATTAACTATATGGTTTTGGGTAAATGATTCAATCTTTGTAAGCCTTGGCCCCATTCTTTCAGTCATAATAGTGGGGTAAACCTTATGGCCTAGCAGGTTAATCCATCCCTTGGGACATTCCTGTCCCATGTCAGAGTTCCTGATTCTAGTCCTGGCTACTCCCATTCCAGTCCTGCTTTTAGCTAAAGTGCATCTAGCAAGGTCATAGATGATGGCTTAAGTATTTGAATCCTTGCCATTTCTGTGAGAGATGTGAATGAAATTCTGGGTTTGTGGCCTGGCCTAGCCCTGATTGTCATGGGCATTTGGGGAATGAGTCATCAGACAGATCTTTCTCTTTTCCTTCCTTCTCTCTGGTCTCCGTGTCTGTCGTTTTACTCTTCAAATAAATAGAAATGTTTGTCTCGAAGAAGAATATTGCATACCTCGTAGTGTCATTGTTAGTCTAAATAAATAATGGTGTTAATACACCGCCTGGCATATGATGAGAGCTCTGTAAGTATTAGTTGTTGTATCAGTGTTATCATTAGTGGAGCCAACATGCCTCTCAAGAACCTGTGGTTGGGACAGTGTGCAGTCCAAGTGGTGGCAGTGGCGGCGGCAGTGGCAGTGGTGGTGTTGATGAGTTAGAAGCTGCAACAGTAATAATAGGTGTTTTCTGTATTGGGATCCCTGGCTGCTTGTGGTCAGGTCTGGGTTTAGAAGGGCAGAGGCTGTGTTGAGATCTAGAGGCTTCTGTGAAGGGGTGTATCTTGAGAAACATTGAAAGCCAGTTTGGCTACTTGGAGTCTGTGACTGTGTTATATAGGATAGTGTCTGTTAGTTGCTTGCCTGGGCGTAACTGAGCCTGCTTTCCTGAATCAGGATTCCCCACCCTCTAGATGGACTTTACTTCGGAAACCTTTTCTTGTGTTCTAAGTAGCTGCAAATTGGATTTTCGTAAGATGCAGCAATCGACAACTTTCAACGTGTGGTCTTTTCCTTTTTTTAATTTACCATGTTACTTTTTTTTTAAATTGTTTAGTGTTCATTGCCAAGGGGAGGGGATTGAAGACCCATGTGGGTCACTGGTTGGGATGGGAAGGGTTCAGGGAGGAAGGTGGGTGAAGGAAATGTTGCTGCCTTCTCCCCCATTATGGGCGTGGGGAGAGGTGTGCTACTCCTTATTTGCAGAGCACATTAATTCGTACCATGGATTGGAGATGGTCCTTTGATGCCGCCTCAGGCTTAGGTGCTAAGTTGGCTGAAGTGTTGTGACACTGGCTCTCCTTTCCACCCAGTGGGTAATGCGGCTTTATGGAAATCATGCCAGGTCTATCTTCCATAAATATCCACCATACATTAGCTTTGTTGGGGATGGGGAGATGCTCTTGTGTATGCTGGCAGGTGCAGTGGCTGAGCTGACTTGCCCCAAAACCCAGCTCTCATGCATACTGGTGGGTGCAGTGGTCTACTCCAGGAGACCGCTTAAACTACTACTAGGCTGTTCTCCAGACCTGGCCCTCACAATTCCCACTTGTGGCTGTGCAGTGGCTGATGGCCCAAGTAGTTGGATCCCTGTCACTCACACAGGAGATCTGGACTGAGTTCCTGTCGCTGGCTTGAGCCTGGCCCATACAGAGCTGTTGCAGGCATTTGGGGAGTGATCAGCAGATAGGAGATGTGTCGATCTCTTAAATAAAACAACAAAGAACCTTAAATAAAAATAATAGTCTGCATTTTCCAAATGATAAAAATTGTATAGCAGATATCATGTGTTTATTTCTGGCTGTGTATCATACAGTAAAGATACACTTTTTAAAATCAGTCACTCCTGAAGTAAAAATATGCCTCCCTTTATTCTTTCCTATATTCCCATCTATAAGAGTTGTGGTATTTTATTCAAATTTAATAAACACTGGTTTTCCCTCAAGTTAATACAGGTGCTCTTGACATAATGGAGTTATGTCCCAATAACTGTATGGTAGACTGAAAATCTCTTGTCAGAAATTGATTAAATATACCTAACATATCAAAATAGCTTGCCCTAGCATACTTCAGTCTTCATTTAAACACTTACATTAGCATGCAGTTGGTCAGAGTCATTTTTTTTAAAGCCGATTTTAAAATAAGATATTGACTAGCTGAATACTATAACATCTAGTATTAACTCTTTCCTCCTCAGAGCTGTGGAGTGGCTCAGCTCTATTCACTGCCACTGCCCAGCATCACAAGAGAGTCAGTCTATCCCTAACACAGGAAAAGGTTCAAATTCAGAGGCCAGACTGATGATTTTTGCTTTTGCACTGGACCAAAAAAAGTCAATGTACGTTGGAGAGTACCCAGACTATTTTTTCTAGGAGTATCATCAAAGCTGCAAAGCACAGGTTTTCAATATTACAGCACAGAACCTGGGGCAGTGTGGAGGCCAGTGTGATTGCATTCTATGGGGGAAAATGAAGGCAAATAAAGCTGAGGCCTAAGGTGGTTGATACACAGTGACAGAGGAGGGGGGTGTCTAGATCCTGTAGGACGAAGGGAGTGGAGGCAGCTGTCACTGGAAGGAGCTTGGTGATTTGCTGGAGCTCTGAATGTCCGAGGAAATAGGACTGCTAGCATGTGTGTTCTGAATGTGTAGCTCTTCCTGCCAGAAATTTTGACTGATTCTGGCACTTTCCAGCCCATTAGGATTTGATCTCAGTAAATAATTTAGAAATGCAACTGTCTTTCTTTGTAGTTTATTCTGGTAGAAAACATCTTCGAAGAGACTAATAAAAAAATGTTCTCAGAATCTGGTAGGTTTGATTTTGGGAATTCATGTCATAGGCTGGTCACTCCCCATTTCTGCTTAATGTAGAAGGGTAGTAACAGTATCCCATAAATGGAAGCAGTAGGTTGAGGTGTGGCTGTTTCCTTTGAGTATGGTGTAGAGTCTCTTTCCTTCCCAAGTGTATTCTCAGGCTGCCCATGAAGGAATAGCATGATCTTATAGAAATATATGGGATCACATAGGGAGTGTGGAGCTGGAAGCACTTTCTCACAGCATATTGATGTAAGAGCTTCCAGCTGGATGAAATACAATAGCCAGCAGCTGTCCCCAGGGGATCACTATGTGAATGCTGTTGTGGCAACTGGTTTTCATCACAGACTGCAGCTCTGTTGGCTGAATTGCAACCATACGCTAGTGCTTGAATGGTTAGCGTTAACCTTGAAATCTTTGAAAATTTAAAAGTAAGTTTTGGTAGTGTTGCATAACCGGGGAGTGCTATGTGGCTAGCAACAGCTGTGGTATGAGTCAGTCCCATTCAAGATTCTGGAACTGTGCTTTTTGCATTTACCAAAGCAGTTTATTACAAAAGCTGTGATTATTTACTTTCCCCTTTGTAAACTCTGGGGTACTTTAGATGTGCTTAAGCTAATCCTTGTGTTGCTGGTTATGGTTTACTCTATTTAAACTAAGCCACTTCTTTTTGTTTAGTAACTTCCCTGTAGTTAAGCATCAGCTTTGACATAACTGTCAGCCTCCTCAACTTTTTCTCAGTGTTCAAGGTTAAAACACACCTGCTAAGAAGTTGCAAGCTGCTCTTTGACTATAATTGTTGATTTCCAATCCATTCTAGTCATTTGCACAGCCTGCCCTCCCTTGCCCTTCTGAACTCTGCTTACAACTGGCCAAAACCCTTGGTCCTCAAACTGCTTTTTTTTTTTTTTTTTCCTCCTTAAGCTGCCACTTTCTAATTATTTTCCCCAATGTTGATAGCAGCTGGAACTGGGATCCCAAAGCTGGGAGCCTGGAACTCAGTGTTTCCCTCGTGGGTGACAGGGACATAAGGGGGCTATCACCTGCTGCCTCCTAGGATGCACAGAAACAAGAAATTTGATTGGAGTAGGAAAAGCTGAAACTCAAAATAGGCACTTGGATTTTTAATGGAAGTGCCCAGGCATCTGAACTGCTGTATTGAACTCCCATCCTTTAAGACAGGAAACATGACCTAGGGCTGTTGAAGGACTGTTGAAGTTTACAACTGACTTACAGTTTCCATTGTTCTATGAAATACAGGAGTTAACACTGTAACTTCTGAAGCTCACAACAAACAACAATGCATGCACGAAGATCCAGAATAACATGACACACATATAAATAAAAGCACTTTCCATACAATGTGTGAAGCACTCCTATATTTTCTGTTGCATTTTATTATAAAGAAATTAGTTAAGGGCAGGGATTTGACTTAGTAATTAAGACACCGTGTCCCATATTGATGAATGCCTAGATTGAATTCTGGGCTGCAGCTTCTGACTCTGGCTTCTTGCTAGTGTGTGCATACCCTGGGAGGTGGTAGTGATGGTTCAGGTACTCATATTCTTGCCACCCAAGAGGGAGTCCTGGATTGAGGTCCTGGCTCCTGACATTGATCCTGGCCATTGGGTGGATATCTGGGAACTAAGCTAGTAGTTGAGAGATCTTTTCTCCTGACTTAAATAGTTATAAATTAAATATAACCTTCTTTAAAATAAAATTGCTGGTTGTGACCCTTTAATTTGGTGACAGCCTTAAGCTGACAGTAAATTGTTGGGCAAAACAGGGTTATACAAGATATACATATATATAAAAAAATGGGAGGCCAGTTGCAGAAGCAATGATAGATGCAAGGTGATCAGTATCTGTGTCTGTTGAGAGGAAGGTGATTTGTCCAGTCCTTTGAAAGTTTCTCTAAGACATGGAAGTCCTACATAACCTTTCCTTTTTAAATTTATTTTTACTTATTTGAAAGGCAGAAAGAGACAGCCCTCCAACCTACTATTTTATTCTCCAAATGCCTGTAAAAGTAAGAGCTAGTCCAGGCCAAAGCCCAGAGCCTGTAACTCAATCCAGGTCTTCTTCTTACAGGGATGGCAGGGGCCCAAGTGCTTGAACCCATTATCTGCTACCTCTCAGAATGTGTATTAACGAGAAGCTGGAACTGAAAGCCCCCTGAGAGGAGTTTAACTGCTGTGCCACATGCCCATCCCAGCTTACATTTTTAAATGTAAATTTTATTGAAATATATGCAGAAAATTTTAATAGCCCTTATAAAATTTTCACAAAATGTGAGCAGCTCCCACAGTGAGTAGCCCTCAAGGGAGAAAAGATAACATTCTAGAAATCTCTCCTGACCCCCTTCCCATTAAAACCATGGTTCTGATGTCTCACATCTTAATTATTTAAAAAAAAAAACAATTATTGATGTTTCATTCACATAGCATCACTTCCACACATTTAAAACACACAATGGTTTTCAATGAATTGTACAACTATCAGTTTATTTTTAGAGCATTTTCTCCAAAAAAAGAAACTTCTTTCCTGTTCACAGTCATTCTTGTAGGTTAGTTTGGCCTGTTGCTAAAATCTGCCTGTTTGTAAATGGAATCAACAGTATTCTTGACTTTCTATTCTTTTATATTTAGGGCTTCTAATACTCGTCCCTGTTATATGTACTTCTGGTTCATTCATTCTCACTGCTGTAGTCCACAGCTTATCTATTAATTGTTGATGGACATGGGAGTAGTTTTGCCCTTTTGTGTGAATGTTGTATGCTTTTCTTTGTGAAAGCGATTCCTGCAGGACATATACCAAGGTGCAAAACTTCTCTTGTAGATCTTGTAGAAATTTCCCAAAGGCTTGTTCTGATCTATGCTTTCAAAACCAAGATTCTAATTTCACTTGATCTGTCTCTAGTACTCCGATTTTCATTTTAGCCTTTCCACTGGGTAGAAGTCTACTGGGTAGAAGTACTGTTGGTATTCCATTGTGTCTTTAATCTGCATTTGTTTGATGATCAATCAAATTGAGCACCTTTTTTTTTTACATTTAGGGTGGCTTATTGGATATTATCTTTTGTGAAGTTCCTATTCAAGACTGACTTTTTTCCATTTTTTTCCTATTAAACTGTTGGTCTTTTTTTTTTTTTTAAAAAAAAAGCTTTATTTTTATTGGAAAGTCAGATATACAGAGAGGAGGAGAGACAAAAAGATCTTCCATCCAATGGTTCACTCCCCAAGTGGCCGCAATGGCCGGTGCTATGCCGATCCGAAGCCAGAATCCAGGAACTTCTTTCCAGGTCTCCCATGTGGATGCAGGGTCCCAAAGCTTTGGGCCGTCCTCAGTTGCCTTCCCAGGCCACAGCCAGGGAGCTGGATGGGAAGTGGGGCCGCTAGGATTAGAACTGGTGCTCATATGGGATCCTGGCGTGTTCAAGGCGAGGACCTTAGCCACTAGGCCACACCACCGGGCCTGGTCTTTTTATTATTTATTTTTATTAATTACATTGCATTATGTGATAACAGTTTTATAGGTACTGGAATTCCCCCCACCCATCCCATAACCCTCCCCCATGGTAGATTCCTCCACCTTGTTGTATTACCACAGTTCAAGTTCAGTTGAGATTCTTTCTTTGCAAGCATATATCAAGCATAGAGTCCAGCATCTTATTGATCAGATAAGATCAACGGCTTGTTGGGGAGACCATCTCTGGTCTGAAGGTAGAGCCAGCAGAGTATCATCCTGATCAATTAAAAACCCCAACATAACATCAGCAACAATTTATAACGTTATGGAATTAATTGACATAGTATTGGGTAACCAATATATATATTTTTAATTGCTAATGAAGAGGCTTCTCACACCTCGCCCTAAGCAGTTGGCATCTCCTGCAGCCAGCAGATGCAGGAGCCTCTCTGATGGAGATGCCTTTCTGCATGATTATGCCATCCTTGCTTCGTGGCATCTCACTTTCTCTAGAATTTTCACTGCAGACTTCCCTCCAACCATCACCTGGGAGTGCATTTCCTCCTCTTTTCCTCTGTTGTCTTCTTTGATCAAAATCAGCACATCTTTTCTCTGTTCACCCACTCTAGATTTTGTTGATCTTTTGACAGTTTTTTTATTATTATTTGAAGAAGTATTTACTTATTTGTTCAGAAGACACACAGAGAGAGAGGGAGCGAGATCTCCCTTGTGTTGGTTCACTCCCCACATGGCCACTACAGCCAGGATTGTGTCAGGCCGAAGCTGAGAGCTATAAACCCAGTGTAGGGCTTCCCACTTGGGCCATCCCCTTCTGTATAGCAGGGAGCAGAGACAGGACTTAACCCCAAGCTTCCCAGGCAATTATAATCAGATGTCAACCCCATTTCCATGTTCTGCTAAATATATGTATTACAATATGTCTCCCATTCTGAGGCTTGCCTCTGTGATAAACTACTTGGTGGCCACCCTGCAGTAACATACATATGTGCATATATGAGGATGTTTTAAAAATCTTATGGAAAATGGAATTAAGTCTAATTTGGTGTAAAGTTTTTCCAAGTCCACACACAATGTTTTCATAGTATGCCTTTTCTGTCAAGTTTTTGAAGACCCATTGTATGCATTTGTATTTTTGGAGAGATAAAGAGAAGTATTGTAACAAATTGGCTCATGACATTATGGAGGCTGAGAAGTCCCATGATCTGCTATTTGTAATGTGAGAACTAATTCTGGCCTGAAATGGAAGTTCTATGTACCAAGATAGCCCAAGTGCTATCTTGTGGAAATCTTTATAAAGTCCAAATGTTTAAATCAGTAGAGCTGATGGTGCGAGTTCATTCTAAAAACACAAGATGAATAGGCTAGCTGAAGCACTCAGGCACAGTGTGCAAATCCCCACCTTCTCTGTTTGGGCCTTCCTTGACTGAAGCCTGTCCATATCAGGAAGGGCCAACTGCTTTACTCATTCTACTGGTTCACATGTTAGCTTCATCCAAAATACTCCCAGAGACACACCCAATGCTGGCCACTTACTGCCCTTGTCACATTGGCACACAAAAGTAACCATCACATGAGAGCAAGACTGGGTAGACTCCTGCAGTTGAGTTTCCATTTAATTCAGTCTCTGCACAATATACACTACTCTAGTTTCTCAGCCTTCAAACTCAACAAGACTCTTGGCAAGTATACCCTGGTGCTCTGAGGTCATGATTTTCTCAGCTGTGATAAAATCTGACTAAGTTTAGGTGAGGCAACACTCACTTGAGTTGGTTCTGTGGATACTAACATAACATGATTGCAGTTTTAGGGAAGCCTCAAGTCACACTGATGTTACAAGCAGTTCAAGGACCAGCAGGTGATGGAACAGATGCCAAATGGAGTTCTGGAGAACCTTAGCACCCAATTTATTGGACAAAAGTGTCCAGCTGTTGTTCCTCTCTTTTATTCCTTCCAAAACTCCATGAAAGTAAAAAATAACTGTGGGGAATAAACTGTCTTCTAAATTTCTTGTTATGGATGTGATAGATATTTGAGAAAATACTTGGTGGCAATGTGATCATTTTGGGTAAAGTAGCTTGATATATTTTGACTTATCACTACAACTCCTTCTAAAACAATAACTGATATTGTACCAATATGGGCCCAAAAACGCATGTGTGTTTTGTACTTTATAAAGCATTTTAATTTAAAAATTCAAAGTTAGTTTGTCCTGTATGTTATGGCAGTATATTTTCGAGCTTTTTATGAGATTTTCAAGTCTTTCAGATCACCTTTTCTTCTAGTGTGTTGTTGAGTCACAACGGAATGGGAAGAGTGGGTGTGCTGGTTGTGAAGCTCCAGACATATCTCCTGAACTCTGCTGCCATGAGCTCTGCAAACCACCTCCCTCCTTTTCTGCTGCAATCTTGTTTGGAATTTACCAGCAACAGTAGACATGCAGGACTGGAACCTGAAAGGGAAGGAAGGTGGAAGGGAGAGGTATATTCCTTTTGATTGCTTCCTTTTCCTGATAACCCTGGCAAAGCAGCATGTCTCCAGCCAGTCATTCCTAAAAGGCTGGTTGATTTGTCTGCAGCATTTCCAGTCATCTTGCCAGTCTGAAATCACAGCAATATCAACTGGTGTTCTGTCTTCAGAGTTGAGTCCCAGCTCTGCAAGATCCCTTCTACTTCCCAAGGTACCAGGACTAGTTGCCTGCATTCACTTCTTGGAGGTCTGATGCTAGTTCCAGAAGATGCATCATTCAAGTTTCTGAATTTTAATCATCCTAGACCCTTGCCTTTGCTGCCCAGCCGTAAGTGTGGTGTCTGCTTCCCAAAGTCTTGGTGGGACCGAATGCTCCATTTTGCCTTTTACTTCATTGTCTGATTAATATTCATATTATCAGATTATCTCTGGTAAACTAGTTGGTCTGGTCAAACAAGAAACCAGATTCTCAGCTTCTAAGAAGGGAGGCATGAGTGTTTGTCCTCTCCAGAAATCCCAAACTCAGATGGGTTTGCCACTAGTTCTCACTGACACAACAATTCTCTCCCTAGATTATGTGATTTGCCACCAGTTGGGATAAATGTAAGGTTGCAGGAAACAATTGTATTGCCCATTTTGTGGTCAGAAAGCCCTACCATCCTTTCCCTCCCTCCTTTATTCCTGCTCTGCTGTTTTCCTCATTCTCCTTGTGACACTTTGTCCAGTCATTCCCATGTTCTTCTATTTTCTCAACACCTCTACTTCCCTTTTCTCTGGTCAGTCTAGATCTCATCACCATCTCAATTAGTCACTGGTACCTTCTACTAACCTACACCATTGTCCTTCTGCCCATGAGCAGAACCCAGGTTAAGACACTCTGACATTTACTTCTTGCCATGTCCTGGCTAATAAGTGCCATTGGGAGGAACCCACAGTTAAGAGTCCAGTCTCCCAGGGGCCCTCAAGCTGTGTTACTCTCCTCTGTCCTGACCCTATGCTGTTGCCTCTTTCCCATCTCACTTAGAGGGTGGCATCACCAGATGGAAGATGGAGGCAATTGTAAGGTTTATTTCTACCTCCAGGATCTTTGCTTGCCTGGCTGAGAAAAAATGTGTTTCTTCCTACCATAGATAAAATTTTCAGTTACCCCTGCTTTCTTACTATCTTCTGATATATTAAACAATTTGTTTTTATTTTCACCTAGTGTAACATGAATCACAGAGGGTAGGGAATTCATGTCCGTCTTGTTTGCTGCAGGCACAAAGTGTGAGAGAAGGCAAGCAATCATGATGGCCCCAAGATTGCCCACACATTAAGAGGTTGGAGTTACCAGCACTGAGCAGAGGAAGGCATAAATGGAGCCAATGTGGAGGGTAAGGCCAAGAGTGCAGTTCTGGACATGTTAGCATTATGCATCCTGGTGCTGAGGTTGTGTAGGCAGTAGGATGAATGAATTTTAAGAAGTCAGGCTAGAGGAATGAAAATAGGTGCCATTGGCATATAGAACCATGAGACATGATGGGAACTACAAAAAGAGTACTCATCAAGAGTGAAGCAAGTCCACCCAGGTGGAGAAATCAGGAAGATGAAACAGAACTACCAAGGAGAATCCGGAACTGTGATGGGAGGGAAAGCAGCAGAATGTGAAGAAAGTGTTCAATGAAGCAAGGAGGAGCCATGGTGTCCAGTGTTGCTGGTAAGTCACATAATATGAAAATAGAGAATTGACTATTGGATTTGGCATTGCACAGAGTTGTTTTTGACCTTGACAGGAACTGGGTTTGGTTGAATAGGAGGGATGGAAGCAGACTGGAAAGAGTTTGAGAGAAAATAGATGAAAAAAGTAAAAAACAGAAGGACCTTGCTAACTTCTGGGGATATTACGGGATTCTGATTAAAAAAAAAAAAAACCAGAAACATCTTAATGCAATTATAAACCTTTGGGTGCTATTGATTAACTCTCCGTATCATTTCTTTTCCTAAATTGCATTGCAAGCCTTTAAGATCTTGCCCAAGTGAATATTAACTATGATGAAACATGGTTTTGTGGTAGCCAAAGATGGTGTATTCTGTAGGCTCCTTTGCCCCTTGCCTGCCCCCCCAACTCCTTGGGTGAGGTGTTAGTGAGTGGTATTCTGTTTGCCTACTTGTTGGCCTTTGATCCTGGGGATCATGTCAATCTCTCTTGTCTGCTGAATGCTGTGTCTCCTTTCCCGTGACTGCTTGTGTGCCCTCATGTCTCATCCATGAGCATGTAAGCCTTGGAGAATCTCTGCTCCCTCCTGAATGTGCAGCAAGATGCCTTGCTTGCTAGACTCACCACTTGGATACTAGCCTTCATCTCTGGTTCCTTCACATCTCTCAGAGAATCTCAGAGAATTTTAATATTTTGCCCTGATATTCTGGAAAAATTTAAAAATTGCTGATTTCTAATATTTCCTATTACAGTTGGAGCATTTATGTTTTCTAATAATTAAAATAAGAGCTGTTTGGAATTACCTTGTTGGCACTATGTAAAAGAGAGGTGAAAGGTAGGATGGAGTAGGAAAGAAATGGCAGTCATCTCACTTTCCTATCTGCCAGCTGCTTTCCTCATAGCCTGAGCTTAATGAGAGCACAGATGTGCTGAGTTGACACAGTTGCATGTAGAAAGTGTGTATGAGGTTCTTTTCTGTTGTTTTCAGTGTTATTTGGAGACATCCTGGTTGCTTTCCTATAGAAAGGGGTTCTCAGGCCTTCCCCTAAAAGTTTATATAGCATAGGAAGTAGAAAATGCAGTCTTTAACAGGCTTCCTTCCAGACACGATTCAGGAAGTTGGCAGATTGTTTTCCTTTTGGACAGGGTCAGTGGCCAAAATGTCCATCCTGGGAGGGCTTTCCATGCCAGCCTATTCTAGAAGGCCAGACTTCCTATCTCTTGCTGCTGTTGAGATGTTTGTTTCATTAGGGGCCAGAGATTTGACCACAGAAAAGTCTAGCAGAGTCAGCCAGTCAGTACATGGCGAGATGTGAATCACAGGTGGAAGGCAGCATCTGAGCTGCACTGGTGGTGAACAGCACTGACGGGAAGGGTCTGAGCACTGGCACATCTCCCTGAGAGCCTTCCCTGTCTCCCATGAAGCCAGGGGTGATACCGGGGGGGGGGCACACACCTCCTTTTTTTGTAGTAGGAGACCATCATTAGACCAAGCGTAGGGAACCCTTTGTGTATCTGTAATAACACTTGTAGGACATACAGAATTATCAACATAAAAATTAGCCTGCTACACAGTTAATGAATTTTGAGTCTTGCAAATACATTGGTAGGGCTAGACCAAGTGATTTTGCGGGGCTTACAACAGCCCATTAGTTTGACATCCCTGCTCTTGATTAGACTATTATCTTGCATAAGTAATACAAATAAACTTGAGTATGAGGGGAGTTGTCTACCTTAGGTAGCAGGCAAACAGGAATGTACCCACAGCCTGATGTTTAAGCAGGTGGTCACTGGAGGACATAGGCAGTTGAATTATGGCTTCCGGAGAAAATTTAGGTATTTAACACTTGGGAGCAAACACAGTCTCTTAAAAAAACAGGATCTTTTCATTTTGAAAATGCTTTAATAAGTGTTGACAACACTGTTTTGCAAAATGTAAAGTTACTATACAAATTCTTAATACAAAAAGAATAAATTAAAAAGCAGATTTCTTTTTTTTTTTTAATTCTGCAACTTTGTCTACAACATCCATCTTTTGATTACAGTTGAACAGAATCCAGTAAAGTCATTTTACATGCTCTACAGTCAGTTTCAGGAGCAACCTAAACCTTTTCCCCCATTATTAAACTAGAGTCCATTTTACACAACTTGTAATAAACTATTGACATTAACATATGTAAAACTTTACACCTAGTTAACTAAGCAGTAATTGGTCATCTGATAGCACCTGGATGGGTTTGCTATAGTTAGAGCTAAACTAAGATCGAGTGAAAACAAACTGAAATTTTAACAGTTTCAACACTCACCTGAATATAATAATAAAGTCAACCTGGCTCACAACATAGTCTATGGGTTTTCACCAGTCTCCTGGTGTACACAGGTCATTTTTTACACGCATCCAAAGAATCCAATAGGGACTTTATATCAGACCAGGAGCTTTATACTTCATTGTATTTTGTTTTTTAAAGAAATAGGGCTATATAAAGAGTTTTCAAGTGCTTGTATACAATTACTACATTTCTCACCACACTGATCATCGATTGTGTCAGTCTGTAAGGACTAACACTTTATGTACATTTTTGTATTAATTGAACACAGCTAAACAGTAAAACCTGTTTTACTTAATCTCTGTCTTTACTACCAGACTATCATGATGTTTGCTGGAACTGTAATTCCTGCTTCCACTCCATACTTGTCTGCCTCCCCAAATCTAACCCAAGTTCTTAGAAAGAATGTTGGCCTCCCATTCCTTGTAACTCAGCTAAATTTAAAGCTTGATCAAGTTGACTACATATGATAGTACATGTTGTGTTAACCTTTATTCATGCAGCCTCACCACTGTCTCTAGTTCCCTTTTGATTTTTCCTGTTTCAGTCTGAGCATTGATCTTTTAGGAGAATGGAAAATGGTCCAATGTACCATGGTTCCAAACCAGGAAAGGAAAATTTTAAAACCCTGTTATTTGTAGTTCAACAAAAGGACCACTGCTCCCCAATTATGCCCTAGAATTGTTTCTTTAGTAAAATAATCTGCAGGTTCACTGTTCTAGGACTTTAGCAGGCCAGAATCCCAGTCCAGTCTTGGCACAGGCTCTGCGAAAGCAGATCTCAGCTTATCCCCTTGAGCCCCAGTGGAGGCAGCTGTGGCCAGCCTCCTCTCCACACAGCATTTCCAGCTCAGCTCCTTACAGAGCCTGCCAGGCCACACCAGAGGGAGCACTGGGGTTATTTAAGTGTCCAATCTTACCCTCCTGGTCTGGTAGAGTCTATTGTTATTCTTGGATTACACAGACATGAAAAACAAAGATTTTTTTTTTCTTTTTATGCTAAAGCTAACTTCAGTTTTGCCTTCCTACAAAACGACCCCCACCCTGGCTCCTGTCCCTGGCTGTGAAATGCCTTTCCAATAGGAAATCATCACAAGGGAGAACAAAGTCCCCTCCCACCCCCCGACTTGCGCCAACAAGCACAGCACACCACCTCTGCGGAGACCTTCTTGTGCCATCTTGAGTAACCCAACTAAGATTGTGCACTTGTTAGTTATTAGAAAAGTGTTTTTTGAGGACTTTGAAGATTGATGGCTTTCCAGGTGTGTATCAAGCATAGCTCAAAACACATGTAAACAAACAGCTCCCACGTGGTGCTTTTGTTCCTCCTTTTTTCCTCTTTGGGTGTCTGAGGACCAACATGGTGCAGCAAGGTGAGCGATCATGTTGTAGGTAGACGGGCCCTTTGGGAGCTGATATGTTTTTCAGCCCTGCTCTGCCTGCTGGCTAGTAGACACATGAGTAAAATCTTGCCACCTAAGGGCATAATTGGGTCCTTTGAAAAAGTGACACATAGGAGAAGTCGGATCTGAGCTCTTTGTCACACAAGTGCTAACAAACATTAAAACGAGCCACAACAGTTAAAAACACTTGGATGGATGGTAATGTGCTTTTTCCCTTGGTTTCCCATTTAAAAAAAAAAAATGAAACACCTTGTGCAAAAACACAGGATACACATTTACTGGTTGGTTTAATGAGAGAGAACCACTTTTGGCAATTATCACCTTATGTTTACTACAAATCCCAAGAGGAAAGCAGCTTTGTAGGCGGTCTGGGGATCAACCCCCTGCACGGTCCAGGGTTTCCAGCACACTCTGCTCCCGGCTTCCTTCCTGTCCAGGCTGCTGCAGGCTCTCGGGGCAGCAGTGCCAGCCAATGCGTCCTCGTCCTTGCCCTGCACTCCGGGGTACCTTCCAGGCTGTCTGCGAAGGGGGATGTGGCCCCAAGACAGAAGAGAGGCTTGAGTAGAGGATGCCATTTACAAACTTGTGACCTTGACTTGTAGGGTGTAGTCACAGTTTAGAATTTAAATGAAGTTTTGCTGCAGAAAGAATGTCTTCTTGGCCCCTCTCCTGTTTTTCGTGTATTTTTGTAATTTGTTTCATCTTTGGCAGCACAAAACTAATTGTGGTCCTCCTGTGTGTGTCTGAACGTCTTTCCTTTCTAAGTCCCTCCCAGCCCATCACAGCCACTCCCTTAAGTGCTGCCTTGTGAAGAAAGGGGTGTTTCAGGTGTAGACCGAACATCCCTCCCAGGCGTCCTCTTCATGACATACTTGGCTGGCCTTGGTGGAGCAGCCTGGACACAGCTTCATTGTCCTTTTGGATCACCCAGTACTTGAGGCCCCTGTCCTGTTCTCTGTCAGTGCCACTTGTCTGCAGGAATTTGATGCCAGCTGGCTTCCCTGACAGTCCCTGGCCTGGGGACTGCCATGGCAGAGGGAAGCCACTGAGGTGCCATTGAGGATTGCTGTCTGGCTCTCTGTGGCCAAGAGAGCCAGGAGACACACAGTGGGACCGGAACCTTCCAGAATGTCTCCTCAGTCAGGTTTGGAGGATGAAGGGAATGCGGAGACGGGAGAAAAAAGTGCTGAGGGCTGAAGCTGGTGCAGGTGACAGTGCGTCTGGGTAAGGCAAATGAGAGGCAGTGAGGTGACTCCAAATGGTGTCGAGGTGGTCAGAGCAGGCCGGGTTGGCTCACACGAGGGTCCCGGGCTTGGCTTTTTCCTGCCCGTACCACTGGACATCAGCTAATTCTGGATACAGGGAGGAATCCAGGAAACAGCTGTCATAGCTCCTGTAGGGAGTCCAAGAAGGGTGAGGAGATGGTCAGCAGAGAGCTGCATTTATGGGACCGGGTGCAGAAGGAAGTATTCATGCACACAGGGCCCCAGGCAGAGGCAACAGCCTGCCTCTCTGTGGACTCTTACAGACTAGAGGAAAACCACACAGATACCTTTCTGGAACTTCCTCCATCTGTAAAAGAGGAAGAAGCAAACTATTGCTTCACATGTGGGCTTTCAGACATGGCCGCATCCTGGTGTTACGGCTCCAGGCTGGCCTAACAGTGTTGGGGCTGCTTGGGCACTGGACTTTCAATGCTTCCTCCAACACCATTCGGGGCGGCCAAGTCTGAGAATGCCCTGTTGGTCACTGGTAGATTTTATATGTCTTGGGAGAAGATTTCAAATCTTATGTTTCCCCATTGTGAAAGGGTGGTGATCTTTTGAATGCTTATGGACTTTTAAGACATTGTTATTTATTCAAAATAACTTGTATTGTTTCATGTTTATTTAAAAATGTGCTTTTAAAATTATACAGTAAAGTATATAGGAGAAAGAAAAGGGCTTCTCTACTATTTAGATTGGGCAGAAATAATTAAGTTTATGTGAAGTCAAATTGACAGGGAAAGAAAAAGAAAGAAATCTTGTATCTGCTAGCTCATGCCTCAAATGGCCACAGTGTCCAGAGCTGGGCCAGGAATTCCATCCTGGTCTCCCACGTGGGTGACAAGGGGCCCAAGCACCTGGGCCATCCTCTGTGGCTTCCATAGGTGTTTAGCAAGGACCTGGATCGAAATGAAGAAGTAGGGACTTGAACCAGTGGTCCTGCAGGATGCTGGCATGGTATCCTATCCCACAAAGCTGGCCCGGGATGGCTAAGGTGGCTGGGCCCTCCAAGGAGACATATGCTGTAGCTGTCAATCAGTTCCTCCCTAACTGTGTGGTCTTGGCGATATGCCACTGCCACTCCCAGCAGGAACAGATGCAGGATCCAACTGGGCCAATTGGTGTTCTCCAGTCACAGCCACTAGCCTTGTGCCATCTGCCACAACAAGGACAGGCAGTTTTAGAATGTTTTACTAAGATTTCTAAAAATACCATTTGAAAGAGCAATGGACAGAAGAGGAGAGGAGAAAGATCTTCCAGCAGCTTGTTCACTCACTGAAATGGTTGCAACAGTCAGGGGTGGACCAGGGCAAAGTGAGGAGCTTGGAATTCCATCTGAGCATGCATGGTAGGGCCCCACACAGTTCAGCCATCTTCTGTTGCTATCAGAAGCAGAGCAGCCAGGACTTGTACCAGTACTTTGAAACTGGGTACTGGCATTACAAGCAGATGTTTGGTTTAACTCAGTGCACCACAATGCTTGCCTTAAGGATAAGCAACTCAGAAGCTACAATAATGCCAATTTCCCACTCAGAATGTAGTTAACTGGAGTTGGAGATATGGCATTGTGGAATAAATGGGCTAAGTCGCTGCCTGTAGCACCAGCATTTCTTATGAATGCTGGTTCAAGTCGTGGCTGCTGTACTTGTGATCTAACTCCCTGTTGATATACTTGGGAAAGCAGCAGAAGATGGCCTAGCGTTTGGCTCCTACGCCCACGTGTGATATCTGGAAGAAGCTCCTGTTTTGGCCTGGCTCAGCCCTGGCCATTTGGGCAGTGAACCAGCAAAGGGAAGACCTCTTTTACCTCTCTGTTTTTTCCCACCTCTCTATAATCTTGATTTCCAAGTAAAAAACAAGCAAGCAAGCAAGCAGAGTGGGAAGCAGTGCTGGTGATGGAGAGAAGCAGTAAGCTATAGCCTTGGCTTTGCCTTCAGCTTCCCAGTAACATCAGCAAATTCACACTCCTGTTTGCTTTTTTGCTCTTTAAATTGATTTCTTTTTCATATTCAAATAACTCAAACTGACACAGTTTCTCAGACTTCTGATGGAAATTTTTTTTCTTATGCAAAAAAGTGAGCTGGAACTCTCTGAAATAAAATTTCCTTAGGGGCTTGATAGACTACAAGGAAGTACCTCTGCCAGTGTTTTTCTAAGTGGTCCTGTCAGCTACCCTGGAACAAATAACTGGCTGCATGGGCATAGACATAAATGAAGGCTCACCTTAGTTTAATCCCCACCAGAACTTCTCAAATATCCACAAAACAAACCTCAGAGAATAATATGAAAAAGGTCTTTCACAAGGTTTGTGGGAAAGCTGACATCCTAACACAGTAGGTTAAACTGTGACATGCAGTGCCACCATCCCCAGGAGATCGCTGGTTCGAGTCCCCATTGCTCTTCTTCACATCCAGCTCCTTGCTAATGTGCTTGGAAAACGAGTGATAGATGGCCTAAGAACTTGGGACCCTGCTAAGATCAGGATGGAGTTTCTGGTTCTCGGCCTTGTCCAGCCCTGGCTGTTGTGAGCATGTGGGTAGAGAACCAACAGAAAAGCTTTGTCTCTTCTTTAAAAAGTCAAGCAAGTTGAACACTGTGCACTGATTTAAGCCTCTGCTTGCAATGCCCATATCCCATACCCGTCTACCTTGCTGGAGCCCAGCCACGCTGTTTTCCATTCCAGCTTCCTGCTAATGGGGCAGGGAGGCAGTAGAAGGTCTAAGGACTTGGTTCCCTGCCATCCATGTGGGAGACCAAGAGGGTATGTTCCCTAAACTGTGACCTAGGAAAAGTAGCCTGCACCTGGGCACTCTTGGCCACTGTGCCAGCAGTGGTGACTGCTGAGGTTGTTGCTGGCAGCTGCCTGTGGGACTTTCCTTGGTGAGAAAGTGCCTTCCTAGGATTAACTCAGACGGGCTCAGGCACGTGTCCTGAGGGAGTCTTGGTTAAGCCAAGGCAGGTGGTGAATTCATGAGCCTGCATCTCCCACATGCTTGTGGAACTTGGGGGCTTCGAGCTGCTTGACCTAGGGAGGTGGGGGCAGAGGTATGTGTAACATAAAATCTTAGGGGGTGGATTTTTACTGGAATTACTTTTTATAAATTTCATAAATTGATGCACATTTTAGAAAGGGCTTATCTTCCTAAGTCTTGAGCAAGGCTTTATACCTTCCTGTCTTAGCACTAATAATTGAGAAATATGCTTTAACTTACACACCAGTTACTGGCTGAGCGAGGCTGAGAGATGAGGCTCTCAGAGTCAGCCAGACATGTGCTGTGCCACACTCATTCTTAATTCATTAGAAACTAACTTGACCATATTCCCACAGCAGCTCTTTCCGATCTATTTCAGAATTCTCAAGTTCACACTCCACTTCCATCATCCTCAGCAGAAGACAGTGTCCCCCATAAAGGGGGTAAGGGGGTAAGGGGGCAGGGGCAGTTCTTTCAGTGTCAGCAGTGTTGCTCGCTAGCTACTGTTCTGTTGCCAGATCTCCTTTTCTCTGGCAGCCAGAGGATGAGGTGTCCCTTTTCCTTTCAAAGGCAAAGCCCTGCTTTTCTAATCCTCCATCTGCCAGCTCAGGTGATCTGTGGGAAAAACTGCTTCACATTTCTAATTTGTTCATGATCTAGTCCTGACCTCCTCTCCAAGATAAAGTTCAGCTCTTTCTCTACAGCAAAATGAGTTCTGCTCTTCTCCTAATATGTCCTCCCATCCTTGTTTCTGCTTGTATGCTTCTGTCTTTGGAATGGCCTCCACCTGGCTAGGCCCTTTGGTCAGTGTCCAGCCTTTGAAGCCACTCTCCAGTAGCTCAGTGAGAAGGCTCTTGGCATCTTACATGTTATAGCACTTACTGCATAAACTTGGTAGTATCTCATCTCCATTGCACTTCTCCTGATTTTCAAACTGTTGATTTGAACTTCTAGAACTGCTATATCTAGTAATAGGTCTACTTTCTGATCCAGTTAACTTAAAGCTGACCATTTCTGCATCATATCCTTGATGTTTTAATTATCCTCTAAATGCTACTTAATTTCAGTGTCTTGTGGATCAGATTGTAATGTCTCTGGGACTAAGAACCAGAGTGCTATAGTAACAGCAGTGTCTGCATGCACCATGGTATTGCTTCCCAAATAACAGCATGTGTTTGATTCTCCCAGGGACCTATTATGCTGACTCAGGTTCCACAGGCCAGGATGATGCTTGGGAATCAGTGTTCTAACGAGTGTTCAGGTCATGAAGATGAGGATGAGGAGGATTTTCATTTGTGGGCTAACCAGGGCATACAAATCTGGTCCAGTACACTGCTGTCACTCAGAGAATGCTGAGATGAAATGACTACTGTTCTTGTATTCTAGGTCAACTCTGACCTGAGTGCTTTAAAACTTAAGGTGCAGTAATACTGCTTTTCTCATGGACAGGAATTACTCCATGAGTATGATACTTCTGTAATATTTGTTATATGTGTAGACCCTGGGGGCAGTGTAATACTTGCTTATGAGTCTTTGGGAAGCAGCATTGGGAATAACCATACATCTGATGTAAAAACAAGCTTACAAACAGAGTTCCCCATGTATGCAGAAGAGAGATGGAAGTATAATGGCCTTCCTAACACTCAGGTGTTTCCTTGTAGGAGCTATGGCATGGACAAAGGCAGCACACCTGGGATCACGCACTCATGGCAGAAGGACACGACATTCCCTTACGATACCTCTATTCATCAGTACTTTGGTGAGTTGGAGACCCAGACCCATCCATGATGGGTGAGTTTGCTGTTGCTTCTCTGAACAAAGGAAAGCAGAAGGAGGAAGAGAAGAGAAGTCAGGTTACAGAGAGAAACTGACACAGACATGCTCAGTAACTTAGTCATGCACTGGAGAGACCCACTGATTAATTACACACCCAAGCATTAGTGACAAATAATTCTAGTCATGCAGAACTTCCAGCCCACATAACTGAGCCAGAAAATCTTATTAGTTTCATGGGAGGGCAGGCTCTGGCCCTTGTTGTCCACTGTCTCTCATTTTCTTATAGAGAACAGTCATTGTTAAGCTTCTCATTGGGAGGAGTTAAGTTAGCCATCAGAAGTGTGGATACACAGGAGGATGTCATGTTTTTTATGAGTTAATCTGAGTCTAGCATTTGGACACTAGGTCTTGCACAGGCTACCTGCCCACATGGACTTGAATGTGGATGGTATGCCAGGGAGTGTTGTTAATGGTTTGTTAAAAGGACGGAGAGGCAGGAGTGGACACAAGGACACTAAAGTTGTAGGAATAACAAGCAGTGCATGGAAGGTTCTGGAACTGTCAAACCTGAGAGTGCATCACAATTACCCTCCTGGAGGACGTGCTAAAAACAAGCACAACTTGCTGGGTTTGTCTTAAGTAGGCCCCAGATGAGCCCAAGGATGCATTTCTGACAAGGTCCCAAGTGACATTCAGACTACTGGTCTGGAGACCATGCTTTCAAACCAGGAGCAGGGTTTAGGGTCCCCAAGAGCAGAACTGAAATCTCCAGCTCCTTCCAGCTATGTGACTTGGGGACAAACATACATGTTGGAGCTGCATTAAAACTGCACGGTTGCAGTGAGGAGTATCTTAGTGTGCTTATGTTAGAAGCAGCTCCTAGTTTTTGTGTACATGGCAAATACCTCCTAGTTTCCATAAAATTATTAAGGTGGTGGAAATCCTAGGTGAAAACCACCACAGGTCAACTTGGAGGAGCATAATATCAACGAGATGTGGGGGCCCTGATTGCAGGTGGGGGAACCAGTTCTGGAACTGTGGCTTTCATCTTACAGACAGCTGTGACACTGTTCCAGACATTTCTAGTAAGCCAGACACTCTGGAGCTGGAAAGGGGTGGGGCACTTAACTCCTTTAGCCAGGAGGTGCTGACAGGAGAGACAGAAGAGGCAGGTGTTACAGAGCGAGGCAGATCTGCCAGACCTTGAGCAGCTCAGGGCACCCTGAGCAGCTGTGAGATGACCAAGCTTCAGTTGCATTTAAAGTATAAAATGAGCTGACTTTGGGTTTCATTTATTTTGCTGCAGACAGCTTCTGTGTAAAGATCTCCAAGTATCTGATCCCCTTTCTCTGTTACTAAAGAATAAGTATATGGCCAGGACAAACACATTTTGTGTTAAATTCATTGTGAGTAGTTGGCCCTCTTTCTTGTCTATGACATTTTTGCCTGGTATTTTGAGTCAGCATTAACCCAAATTAAATGCTGTCTGGAACTGTAACCCCCCAAAAAAAATTCCCCTTGCCGTTTCCACCTTCCAGGGACCATATAAAATTCACCTCTACAAAGGGACAGTGAGGGAAAGGAGTGGGGTAGAAGGTGAGAGCCTCTTTTGAATGGAAGAAGTTGCCAGCCATGTGCCCTCATCATTCCTGTGTTAACATGCTTCTACTAGTGGGAATGAATATTTAGGACACTCTTCCTGGCTAAGACAGTCTCAGGTGTGGAGGAAGAATTGAGTTAAAGGCTGTAAAAGAAAAACTCACCCAGTCTGCCAAGTTAGGATGTGGTGGGGACTGCTTGGTGGAGTGGCTCCAATTTCACTCGACGGTGTTGAGCTTCTCTGGCTTTGAGGTAAGGCAGCTGGAAGTAGGTGGCATGGGACAGGCAAACAGAAGTCAGACACAAGTGAAAGCGCTTTCAACTCCTTAGCCTTTATGCACTCAGCTGCCAGCAGTCACCATTTCCAGGGATGATTGGTGCGACCCCAGGGCAGCATCTCAGTGTCAGTCTGATTCCAGGTGCCCACTGGGCAACAGGAAGTATCTTCAGGGATGGCCTGGATCGCAGCCAGGAACCCCCTGAAGGAGGTGTCCTGGGCACGGCTCATGCAGGGAAGGCCCCAGGGGTCTACCCAGCAGGACCCCGTGGTTTGTCATCTGCCACCTTGGCCACACCTTGAAGTTGACCAGGGCTTTGACAGCTCATCCAGTTTTGATTCTGAGTTTACTGATATGGGTAGCATGGAAGTCAAGTTGGGAAAGTTTTGGTAGAAATTCATTCCTACTTCAATCCTTCCTTTCTTTTGGGAATGGAACCCTTCCCATCACTAAACATCAGATATGGCCTCTTAACATTTTTTGTTCCAAAATATGTTTCAAAAAAATCTTGATTTCTTTAAAGCAAATCTACTAGATAAATGCTACAAGTTCCCAAAAGAACATACACACCTTTCTATGTACAAGCTGCTGGCCCTTCCCCTAGGGTCACAGACCGTCGTATCTTAGACATGGAACACACAAAATGTTCGCCCTGACTCTTCCTGAAAGTCATGACCAATTTTCCTGGGCTTACTGTACAAATGGAGACGGGTCTAGAATCCTTAAGTTGTGGTACAATTTTTGTACCTGCCTCATTTTTACTCTAGTCTCTCAAGCCTACCATTTGGCCAACATGTCCTGTTAAGTCAGTGAGTGGAGATGAGGGTGCCGAATGCAAGAACCTGATGCTCTTTGGTGGTCATGTCTTCCTCTTTGTGCTAAGAATTTCCCTCAGTTTCCCAAATAATTCCCCTTCCCTAGCTTTCTTATCACTCAATTTTCCCTGGTCTTTGCTTTTACTTAAATAACTCTCTTACTAAAAACAGGTAAAATTCCTGACTTGGAACTGCTTCTAGTTGCTTTAGACTTAAAAAAAAAAAAAAAAAAAGATTTACTGGGCCCAGCGCGATAGTGCAGTGGTTAAAGTCTTCGCCTTGAATGCGCCGGGATCCCATATGGCACCGGTTCTAATCCCGGCAGCCCTGCTTCCCATCCAGTTCCCTGCTTGTGGCCTGGGAAAGCAGTCAAGGACGGCCCAAAGCCTTGGGACCCTGCATCCACATGGGAGACCTGAAAGAGCTCCTGGATCCTAGCTTCGGATTGGCTCAGCTCTGGCTGTTGCAGTCACTTGGGGAGTGAATCATCAGACAGATCTTACTCTCTGTTTCTCTTCCTCTCTGTATATCTGCCTTTCCAATAAAAAGTAAACAAATCTTTAAAAATAAATAAATGGTGTTAAAACTTTCCTTATTTGTTAGAGAAATATAATTTTTTTTTAATATAAGATTTACTTACTTGAAAGGCAGAGTTGCCAAGAGAGTGGGAGAAAGAACTTTTGCACCTGCTAATTCATTCCCCAGATAGGTGCAACGGCTAGAGCTGGGCCAGGCCAAAGCCATGAGCCAGGAGTTTCATCTGGGTGTCCCACATGGGTGTAAGGTCCCAAGGACCTGGGCCATCTTCCTGCTTTTCCTCAGGCATCAGTAGGAAGTTGGCTTGGACCTGGAGCAGCTGGGATTCAAACCAGTGCCCATACAGAATGCCAGCATTGCAGGCTGTGGCTTAACCTACTGCGCCACATTAGCCCCTCTCCTTTTATTAGAATGCTTATTGTTTCTATTATTCTTCAATACCCATTCCACCCTCATTTCCTTTTCCGGTTGTCAGCAGGCAGCAGAAACCCTTCTCACCTCGCTGTCTGTGAGTGGTAAGTCTGCAAATGACTGCGAAAGGCTGCTAGTGCTGAGCCCAGACCGCCCAACATAACTGCTCAGCTGATGCTCATCTGAGTGTCACAGACACTGTGCCTTTTTCTTAGGGAGGGGAAGAGAATGTAAAGGGCAAGCATATAATTTTTTTCACTTCTGACTTGCTCTAGTACTGCTGAGTGTTCCAGTCTAAGAATATAAGGGTAGCACCAGTATTGTGGTACAGTGAATTAATTCATAATCTGTGCCACTGGCATTACATATGGTCACTGGTTCAAGTCCTGGTTGCTCCGCTTTTTTTTTCTTTTTTTTTTTTTTTTTTTAAGATTTACAGAGAGGAGGAGAGACTAAGAGGAAGATCTTCCATCTGCTGGTTTACTCCGCCAAGTAGCCACAATGGCTGGAGCTGTGCCGATCTGAAGCCAGGAGCCAGGAGCTTCTTCTAGGTCTCCCATGCTGGTACAGGCTCCCAAGGCTTTGGGCCATCCTTGACTGCTTTCCAGGCCACAAGCAGGGAGCTGGATGGGAGGCTGGGCCGCCAATATCAGAACTGGCGTCCATGTGGGATCCCGGCCGCTTACAAGGCAAGGACTTTAGCTGCTAGGTTACCGTGCCGGGCTCAGGCTGCTGCACTTTGAATCTGGCTTCTTGCTAATGTACCTGGAGAGCAGAGGAGGTGCTGCTCAAGTGCCCAAGTGCTTAGGATGCTGCAGCCATCCATGTGGGAGACGTGGATGAAGCTCCTAGCTGCTGGCTTTGGCCTAGCCCAACTCTGTCTGTTGCAGCCATTTGGGGAGTGAATCAGTGGTTGGAAAATCTGTCTCTGTCTTCCAGACAAGTAAATAAATCTCAGCTATATAAGCAAGACCTTAAACTATGGAAAATGTCAAGTGTAATATCAGGGTATTAAAAGAAACCAATTACTTTGTGGCTCCTAAGAGTTTCTCTATAAAGGCACCCTGTTAAATGCATACCACCAGCACCTCACTAAGGCCAGTGGCTTTAAAACCCACACCCAGCCTCAACTTGCAGCTGTGCTCAGCGGTGGGGGTCTCCATGCTCCCCTCCCCTGGGGTGAAGTGAACCACTGGTTGGGCCAAAACATTGCTAGGGCCATCCATCAGGCACAAGTGGCCAAGTAGATGTGTTAAGAAGCACAGCCAGGCAAGCTGGCCACCAGGCCACCCAGTTAGGTGTGGAGTTTCTGTGTGAGACAGGCTCTGGAAGGGCAGGGTAGGAAGCCGCTGAGTGTATGCCACCTGCCAGCAAAGTTCCCCACCCAGCACCTCTGACGGGCCCCTGAAACCATGGAGCAGTTAGCCGGTCCCACCCCTGCCACACCTCTCACCTGATGTGGCCTTGCACATCTGAGGCATCCTGGTGACCCTGCTGTGCGCCACGAAGGTGCTCTGGGATGAGGTGCTGTACTGCGAGCCACTGTCTGAGGAGGTGGAGCTGGTGTGCGACAGGCGGCTGTGCTCCTTGTGCGAGGCGCTGCAGCGCTGGTACCACTGGCGCAGCTCGTCCGACACAGCAGAGCGGCCCTTGTCGTGGGCACCCTCGCGGCCCAGTGACGGAGTCCGCAGGATCTGCGAGCGCGATGGCGTCAGGCGGCCCGCGTCGCCTTCGTCGCCGCCGCGCCAGCTCTCCTTAAAGAGGCCTCCAGCTGTATAGGAGTTGGACGTCTTGAACTGCGCCTTGACACTGTAGTGGCCCTCCTGGTCGCTCTCCAGGCTGCGCACCACCACGGGCGTGGCACTGCCCTCGATGTACAGCGGGTACTCCTTGATGCGGTATTGCGAGCTGGGTTGGCTCTGGCTGTGCAGGTAGACCCCGCCCGTGCCGCCCGCACCGCCCGCGCCGCCCGCGCCACCCCGCGCCGCCAGGTTGGGGAGACTGCCGGAGCCCGCGGCGCCCAGCGAGCCCGCCGCACGGCGCCGCTGCCGTTGCCGCTGGCGCGCCTTGGATGGCGAGTCCTCAGCCAGCGTGGAATAGTTGGCGTTCATCTGTGCTGGGTAGTAGTGCTCCGAGCTCGAGTGGCTGGTGCAAGACGAGCAGTCGTCCATGGGATCCGAGCCATTGCTGCTACGAGTCCGTGGGGTGTAGAAGTCGGGGCTTCCCGTGTCATTCTCCGAGCCCAGGAGCTTGCCCTGGGACTCCAAGCTGGAGCTCCGGTGCCTAAAGTGCAAGGCGAGGCTGTGCAGTCGCGTGGGGCTGATGTCCACCGACCTGCGGGGAGACGCGGCCCCGGGGTAGGTCTGGGGGTTACTCAGGGGTGGAGGAAACATCCGTGGAGCCCTTCCTTGGCAGGATTTCAGAAGTGTGAAATAGGCAGGCTCAGGTATGGGTCCTTCCGGGACCCATAGGGCCCTGGCTGAACTAGGCCTTGGGCTTTGTCTCCTAACAGGAAGTGGACCTAAAGCTAGGACTCACACAAGGGTTGGCACTGACAATTGTATGCTAGTGTCTGGAGGTCTTTTCTTTTTTTTTTTTTTTTTTTTTAAGGTGGGAAATCATTCTACAGATCGAGAGACCCAGAGAAGTGTCATTTAGTACAGGGCTAAACGCTATGAAATAGCATGTTTTCGTAGGTCCTAAGACAACAGTGGCTCTTCACATGGGATAACCTCATACAAGTGTGAGACCCACACCAACAGTTCTCTCTTTGAAGACTCAAGTACACCGCTAAGGAGTGTGAGTGAGGCGGACACTTCGCATTACTATCACTGTCCAGAAGCCCACCCCATGGGGTAGCCATCAGCAGCACCCAGTAGTGACTGCACCCCATGCTTGGCCCCCATGTATGGCTTCCCCCTGTGTCTGTTCCTCGGGGGTAGAACCAGAAGCCCCTAGCACACGGTCCTCTAGGACTTGTTCAGTGTTCCTTTCAGAATTTGTACCTTGGGGGATGATAAACGAGATCCAGTGGAGATTTAGACCTCAGCAGCAAGTCCGATAAGGACTGTCTAACAAAAGATCATCCCAGCAGTGTAAGGTACTCCTGGTTCTTAACTCGCCTCACCTTTCCTGCCGCCAGTTCCACCCACCATCTGGGGTGGCCCCATGGCCGACTCACCTCGTAGAATGGACGTAGTGGGGGCTCCGGACCCTCAGGTCTGGTGTGGATGGCATGCTGGATTGGGAGTTCCAGTGCGGCAGGCCACGGATAGGGCTGTTCTGCAAGGAGCTGCTCCCGCCCCCCGCTTCAGCACAGCTCCCTGTGCTTGGGAAGCGCTTGTGGCCGCTGCAGAGACAAGGAAGCCATGCTGCTCATGGCCAGACCCAACAGCCCCTTTGTCCCAGAGTGGATAGGCTTGTGGCTCAGCAGAGCTTGCCCAGGCCTTCCTCCCTCCTTCCCTCCCTTGTTCTCTCCAGTGAGTACTGCGGTTCTGAGCCCCTTTCTCCCAGTAGCTGCTGGATTCCTTGCCCCTGACTCCTCCCAGCCCTGCAATGTCAAGTGGAGACCTTGTCTGCCTTCTCTGTAGCATGCAGTGTGGCTGATGTGTGGAGTCCCTGCCCACACAGCTTTGGATTTGCAAGAGACAGACCTTCACCTGTCAGTGCTCTTAGGGCTCCATAGGGTGTCACGAAAGGAAATAAGAAAAGCCGAGGAGTGAGGAAGTGGACCAAGATGACTTCCCCAACCCCTCTCTGCATCAGCCATGTAATGAGCTGCTAATGTATATAGCTCAGACTATAGCTGTCAGGCTTCAGAATTTTGCCAGTTGGTGGCTTGGAGTTCCAAGCCACTGAGGGATTCCTATGACTGGATTCTCATTTGCCATTTTGGAATGGTGTTCCCAAACATTTCCTAATTAATTCCTGTGGAATTTAACAACCTTAAAACCATCTGCCAACACCTTGACTTGGAGCCAAAAACACAACTGCCCTTTGAATGACAGAGCTGCACCTCAGCAGTGTTAGCACCAGAGGGCGCATGAGTGCAGCACTGCGGAAAGGCAGCCTGGGGAAGGGGAGGAACGAGGACACACTAAAGACAGCCCTTTGACTCTCGCATCTGCACTTCAGCTCCCACCTCACCTGGAATGGCTGTGGGAAGAGCGTTTCTTCACCTTCTCATAAGGCTCATCCAGAGAGGACTCGCTCCACATCTTGGGCTTTATGGGTGACTTGTCATAGTCATTGCGGTGGTAGTGCATCTGCCTGAGTCCCTCCAGAGACTGGGGAGGTGGAGGCCTGTTGTGCGATGGTGGCCGAGGAGGCAGTCCCTTGTGAGGGGACTGCAGAGGGGATATTGCGCTGGTAACCTGAGAATCTTCTGCCCCCCAAAAAAAGACAAAGACGGCAAGTGAGCACAAGTGGGATCTCAGATGGGACAGACCCCAGCCCACCCTGACAGACACACAGGGGCGGACTCCTCTGTGCTGTGAGGAGCAGTTATCTGGCAGGTGCTCAGTGAACACCTGTTGGAGGAAAAATGAGTGTGTAACGACCAGGTGTGATTACTCACTAGTGCATCTGGTGTTCTACTCTCTGCTTTTTGTCAGTGTCATTTGTATTCTCTTTTTAACACATAACTGTGTTAAGAAATCTTTGGGAAAGCGATGAACCACAGTATTACATACAGGCATCTTTTGGTACCCATGGAGGACTGACAGCAGGACAGAGTCCATTCCCTCCCCTCCCCTCCCCTGACACTGAAGATACCAAACTATGGCTGCTCAAGCCCCTGATATAGAATGATACAGCAGCATGCCTTTGGTAAAGTGGTTAAGATACCACTTGGGGCACTGCGTACTGTACTGGAATGCTTGGGTTTGAGTTCTGGTTTCATTTCCAACTCTAGCTTCCTGCTAATGCAGACTCTGGGAGGCAGCAAAATCTGGTACAAGTATCAGAGAGCGTGGCACTCAGTGGGAGAGAAAAGAAAGGACAGCCCCACATGGATGCAGGGGTTGGGTGAGCAGCAGGTGCAGCAGCTGGGAGAGAGAGCTGGCTCATCAGCTGATCCTCCGTCTACTCCCAGCCTCTGCTTGCACCATGAGGGACCCAGCGAAGTGGGCTGGGCTGGTGGGGAAGGAACACTGTGCAGCTTCTGAAGCACGGAGGTGTTAGAACCTGTCACCGGCAAGATTCCAGGCACAGAGTCCCTGGAGGGTGCATGGAAGGGATGAGGGGCCAGGGCAGGTGGCACTGAGGGGGAAGAAAAATGACTCGCTGGGGGAAAGGGTTGGGAGGGACACAAAAACAAACCTCAGACTCACTGACACACTTCTGCTTGACCCTACAACTGTAACTTTTCGTCACAGCCCCAACCTTGAGCCAGTTAGCTGCTCTGCTTCTGGAAGTTCCTTCTCTGCTCAGATCCACCAAGGAAGCAACCTTAGGACAAGGGAGGCTGCAGTGGGATTGAGGGTTCCAGAGGGGAAGCCATACACCCCTTAGGTCCAGGGTGCTAGAATGTGGGCAAAAGACTACTCACATGTGAGCTCTCCAAACTGGCTGGTGTTCTGGCATCTCCTCTACAATTTAGCCTCTTGGCTAAATCATTCTCATTCCAGCTGCTGGAGAGACTAGGCCAGTACGTCTGATAACCAAAACTCCCCACCCAAGCAGCAAAGGAGACAATCAGAATATCACAATCTGGTTTCTAATGGCAGCGTCAGGGCAACTGGGTAAATACCTTACTAGACTTCCCCACATCAAGAACAATCATTAGTATTATCATTGCAATTATCATTATTACAATGACTCGGATAGTCCTTTTATGTTTTCCGTCTGCCTCGGCACTTAGCACTGCCAGCCTGAGGTTTCTAAAGGGCAAAAAAAAAAAATAAAATAACTGCCACTTAACATATTTCCACATAACTAATGCTCTCGTCTCCCAGCAATTTGGGTTAACATCCACAGGAAATCTCCCAGAGATGGTTCTGGGTTTGGGGTTTCCTGCCTCTCCTTGGTAGATGGTTGGGAGGGGGAAGTGGGGTGCTAAGAATTACCTGAGAAAACAGCCTGGGAATGGCCAGAGTTCAATGGAAAGGGCTGGTATTACAGCAAGGGGCTAAGCTGCTGCCTGCAGTGCTGGCATCCCATGTCAGATTTCTGCCTTCTATCTAACTCTGTTTCTGAACCATCTTCCTGCTTATGTGCCTGGGAAAACAGTGCAAAATCCTCACCCACATGAGAGACCTGGATGTACTTTTGAGCTCTGGGTTTGGGCCTGGACCAGTCCTGGCTATAGTGGCCATGTGGGGAGCAAATCAGTGGATGAAAAGTCCTTCCCTCTCTAATAATTTTTGTTTTAAAAGAGTTCAGTGGGATATGAAGAAATTTCAGGGCTTGAGCTCAAGGTGTTTGTTTTTTAAAGATTCTTTCCTTTGAAAGGCAGAATTGAAGAGATTGGGGGGACAGTACAAGAGCGAGAGAGCTATTTTCCATCTGCTGGTTCACTCTCCATATGACAACAATGGCTGGGACTGGGCCAAACCAAAATGAGGAGCCTGAAACTCCACTGGGGTCTTTTCAAGTGGGTAGCAGGGGCCCAAGTACTTAGGCCATTCTCTGCTGCTTTTCCATGTGCATTAGCAGGGAGCTGGGATTGGAAATGGAGCTGCCACGACCCAAACACGCACATGTAAGGGGCGATTGCCTGTGATGCAGTCAGCAGCTTAACTTCTGGTGCCATGATGCTGGCCCCTTTCATTTTCACTACTGCTTCATCCAGGTCTTATGAATGCTTTCAAAAGGAAACTACATATAGTGTTAAGGTTCCCTGTTCCATTAAAAATGTGCATTTGGCTTCTAAAAAAGCAAAGCACTACTCACTGAGTTGCCACTTTAAATCTTACTCCTGGGCCAAGGTAGATGCTGAAATTCCAGTCATTGTGTTTCTGTGGCTACCCTCCACTCCCAACCAAATGGGTGGGTGTTGGGAAGCAAGGGCATTTGCAACCACCACCTTGGCCTGGCACAGCTGCTCCCAGACTTCCAGCCAGCAAGGGGCTAACCTACCGTCCTCCAGAACAAGGGCATCGGAGAGCGAGCTGTCTTCGCTGGCAATGTTTCCATCTGCGAAGGCAAAGAGCAGGTCTGTGAGTTCAACATGCTCCTTCAACAATGCCTGGTCTGCAACAACACTGAATTCACCATCCCCAGGCCTTCCTCTTTCCCATCAGAAAGAGCTTCCTGCACACAGTAATGCTGCTGGGCATTTCTTTCACAATCCTTGTGCAGGCTCATTAGTTCCCTGCCCCACCCTGGTATGGCAGAGGCCCCTGATGGTGTGTATTTGTGCCCATCCACAAGAGACTGGAATGCCAAGCAGCTGCAGGTCAGTACCGAGGTTGCTTAAGCCATGCCATTGTCTCACCCAGAGACTTGGGGCATGTACCGACTAAGCCACGGGGCTGCTGGTTATTCCATAACTGCATAACTAGGGTAGGGAACTTCGCTTTGCTATATGGCAATATTAAATGGCTTCTCAATAAACTTTTTAAGTCATTAGTAGAGCAAACAAGGGTGCTAAATACAGACTCCATCTCTCTGAAGCCTATTTTTACAGGGGCTATTCAATTCACCAGGAGGACACACCCAAGAGCAAAACAGTAAAGTAATCCTCCCTTCTTTAGCCAGTGGGGAGGCTGAAGCACGCTTCTCCATTGGCTCCGCCTGTCTGCTCAAGTACCAAAAGGCCCACATCTTCCTGTTTTGGTGTTTTAGCTCTTGAAATTTAAAAAAAAAAAAATTCAGGTGAGCCCTTGCAATGCACATATCATTTCAATAAGGTGCCAAAGAGAGAAGGTGCCTCATGTCACTGGTGGTTTGCTTCCCCAGGTAAAACTCAACTCCAGGTATGACCAAGTCCCTTTTAAATCATCCTGAGATTATTCACGACGCCCAATACTACATAACTGCTGTGTCAACAGATGTTCTGTACATGTTGAGAGCAGATAACATTTTTCATCCAAAGTTGTTTGAATCCATATAAACACATCCTGTGGCTCTGGAGAGCTAACCATGTATTTGCAAGCTATAGGCTTGGCCAGAATAATTTGGTGCAGATAAGAATTTAAAATGGATTCTGTCAGTAGTCCCAGCAGTTCTCCCTGGGGCCAGGAACCTCCTCATAGTCAACCAGAGACATGTCACATGTGTGATGCTCTTCCCTGGCCTGTCTACCCAGCTGTCTGTTCATGCTGAGCTGTGAACCGCCCCCTCCCCCAAGTGCCTCCAGAGGGGCAGAAGGAGGTCTCAATTGGAGTATAAGACAGACGGACTGGCTGGCTACAGCTCGGATAGGAAGTGGTGGGAAAAAGTTATGTGCTCTTGACCAAGGACAACTGGGTGTGATAGGGAAACACTGCTATTTCCAATTTCCTCAAGAAAACGGATTTTTTTTTAATGGTCTTTTTCTCTCCCTTTAAAACTAGGACTTCACTTTGTTCCTATTACCTGATGGGCTGTGAACAGTAAGACTGAGGAACTTGAGTGGCATCTTCTGGAATCTCCAATACATCGCTGCTTCCCTGGTGTTCTATCTGACTGTGGTATATCAGATCTTCCATCTTAGCCATGTTCCAGCATGCAGTCCAGTAGAACCGAGGGCATTCACACTGCCGTGCAACCATCCCCAGCACCCATCAGTGCCACTGCCCACACTGGAACTCTGCGCTCTGAGATGCGAGTCACTTCTACTCTGCTTGCTGTCTTCCTCGAGCCAAAAGTATTTTATACATGAGTGGGACCCTGTGAAAAGAGCCTTGGCATTGATTTTTCAAGCCCTGGCTGGCCTAGATTAAAAGGATTCCAACAGCCTCAGAGACTTGATGCTTGTTGGTAGACTTTTCTGGTATTTCCTTCTACAGTTTACAAATCCAATCACCCAAACTCCTAACCCCTGACCAGAGCTTGAGGCCCTAACCAATCAGAGCCAGACAGACCAGTCTGCCTGAGCTGCAGCTCTGGGGATGGGAGGCCCCAGGAAACACAGGAAGCTGCAGAAGGACACAGGGTTGTCACAGGGTGGTGACCTGTAGGAGGCCCTGCTCCCATCACCTACCAGCTTGCTCTCCAGAATTGGGGACGGATGGCCTGGTACCTGGGGATGGCAGAGGCTGGGCTAGCTCTGGGCTGGATGTGGCCTGTGTGGTCAGCTCAGCTCCTGGGATAGGCCGAGAAGACTATGAGCCCATGGCGGCAGATTCTCCCAGGCATGCAGCGACATTCTTTTCTCTACCTCTACTTCCATTAATGGATCTCGTTGCACAGGACCACTGCTTTTATTTATCAGACCTTATTGGCGTCATCTCATGGACACTTAAGTAAAGGCCAGGGTGGTTCTGCAGCTGCTTAAGCTGTGCAGGATTAGGGCAGGTTGTGGGGAGAGGGACCTGACATCCGCTTTCCTGATGTCTGTGTGCGGGTGTGGGTGCGGGCAAGGCAGCCTGTGAGCACTGACCGTCTATGATGAGTGAAGCCCTCTGCGTGGGTTTCTTGCCCGACTTGATGCGGTTCTCATTGATGGCATTTTCAATCTCCTGCAGCTTCTTCAGTGCATTCAAGTACGAGGTTTTCCTCTGTTTCTTCAACTTCTTGCTGACGTTGGGATCACTGGCGAGGCGGCGGGCAGCCTCCGTAATCTGGGACTGAATGGCAAACTCACGTTCCAGGCGTTCCAGCTCTGCTTCCTGTGGGCAGGGGAGAGGCATGGCTGGACACTTGCTGGGGATGCTGAGCGGGAGCCCCTGTCCTTACCCCACATCCCTGCCCTAATGGGAGCACAACTTCAATCAGGAAGCCATCAGCAACTGCCTTGCATGACTGCAGGGAGGCTCCAGTGCTTAAGCGTCTGCCGGCTGCCACACCCAGATGCATATGTGTGAGCTGTGGCTGGCCTCACACTTGCCTGTCCCTGCCCCCCATCCAGGGCTGGGCGTTGGAGGGCAGCTGGCTCCCCCTAGCCGCTTGCTTTCCTTGGCCTGTTTCCTGGGCGAATCCCTCCTGCCTCCATACCTTCCTTCAGTTCCCCTCAGAGTTCTGGGCCAGGGAGAAGTTAGACTGTGGCTGGCTGCTGAGGGGTCTGGGAGGGGTAGCTCAATCCTGTGTCCAAGAGGTTTGGGGGCGAATGCAGAATATCCCCCTGCCCGTCCATTTCTCTCCTTTTTCTTCCCTATTGAGACCCGTCTGGCCAAAGCCAGCTGTAGTTAGTACCCTTCAAGGCTAAGCTTTTGAACAGTGGGCGACCTAGCATCTTGCTGGCCTCACGGGGGAGCCTGGAGGGGAGGTCGGACCTGATGAGCTCCTGGACAAACATGGGCGGTAGAGGCAACTTGGCCTTGGCACTTCCCAGTCACCTAACTGAACTAACCAAGTGGGAGCTGATCCTCTGTCTGCTGCAGTCAGCAGATCTTTCTGTTTCATAGACCAAGACCTCCTTCTGCCTCTCAGCACAATGCACCAGGCTGGGTGCTTTCATGAAGGACACTATTTCTTGGCCCGATTTCATTTACTTTGAGCACTTTAATCTGAAGCGAGTCAAGGAGTTGGAGTGAAAGGACAAGGTGAAGGTTAAATGCAACTGTTAGGAGATAAGCTCTTTCCAAATCCTTCAAATGTGGGCTGCGTTTTCTCTCTCTGTAAGGAGAATATTTGCTAATAGCCTCCTGTCCCGGGTCTTGAAGCAGGCATCACTTAGGGACAAAGACTGCTCTGTGATTTGGGATGTTTGGGTAACCCAGGCTCAAGACAATGACCTTGAGTTCTGTGAGGGAGCCTGGACAAAACCCTGGCTGCTTAACCTGCAATAAGCATGATGCTGAACACCCTGGCTGTGCAGATGGCTGCCCATGGCACACACAGGGAAGCACAGGGCATGCCCAGGGAGAATAGCAGCAACAGAACCAAAGCTGATTGCCTTCTTCCCAGAGTAGCTCTGTGGCGTTCCACCCCCTCCTGGGCCATTGTTTATGCTGAGAAAATATGATGTGCAGAGATGAGGCAATAGAGGAGAGGAGTCATGAATACTCACCCCTCTTTGGGTGCTGAAGACATCCTGTATTGAGGGGTATGCAAAAATGTAGTGGGGCTGTGGTGAGACCAAAATAAATGGAGGATGGATACTCGGTAACAGTGGGGATACTTTTTCAAGTGGAATGCCAGGCATCTGCCCAGCAACAACTTGAAGTTCACTGAGTAGTTCTGATGACCAGGTGGGTTTGGGAAATCTGACTACTTTATGTCCCAATTCCCATCCTCTCACCCTAGTTCCCACCTGCAGCTGCTGCAACCCCTCATCTTCTTCCAAGGATCTAATACTTGGTGAGCACTAGGCAGGTGCCAAGTACTGAATTCAATGCGTATCCCACACTACCTCATGTAACCCTGACCATGAACTTCATTGTCTAAGACAGCAAAACTCCAAGTGGGACTTCTGCTCTGGATGAAGCACTCTGGTGTGCCCATGAGTGTCCTGGGGAGTCCTCAGGACTTCCCTGGGGCACTTGGGACCCTGCTGAATTCCCCTCACCCCAGCCTCTAAAGCCAGCGTACATATGAGAATGTTAGTGCTGCTCAGTCTGTTGTAAGACTTTGTTCTTCTAAATCACACATTGGCTTTGGGCCCTGATCTTTGTGTTCCACATCATGTTGATTAGAATAGGTTTGGGAAGATGCTTCTTGGATGTGATTGAAGACTGCAGGGATACCTGATCTTTCTATTGCTCTGAGGCTGGTTTCTGATTATCCAGCCTTGAACTCAGGTTTGGTTTATGTTTTCTAGCTTTTCTCTCCCATTTCTCCAATTGCAACCCTCACCACTGTTGGATCCAAAGGGACAAAATTGCTCTGCACAGAAAGGCAAGGTCAGGCCTCCCCCAGCTTTCCCCAGATAGTGGCACCTTCCCTGCCTGCTGACAGAGCCTGAGTTTTGCTCCCTCTTTAACTGTTTTCAACCAAACATCAGCCATTAGGTGTGACCCTGAATAGCAAAGTGCTGAGGGCCTTCAAAAGACAAATAGGAGTGCTACTGGAATGTTCTCTGATGTAGCCATTTGTGCTAGGCCCACTGTTAAATAACTTCAACAAAAATATGAACACTAATGCAGGCTACCCAGTCCTAGCAGGAGGAACCACAGACTGATCCACCAACCAGCACAGGCAAGCAAAGATCAAGGAGAGATACAGGTATTAAGTAGAAATGAAGAAATCATTACAGAACAACAGTGCCCAATGAATGGGAACAAAAAATCAGCACTAGCAGGAAGGCCATACCTCTCCCTTAGGCAGGATCTTCTGTTCATCTAGCTTGAAGGCAGTCCCTATTCGTCGCCGGACAACAGGGGGCTCCTCCCCAGGGTCCAGGGGGTATTCAACTGGCAGCTTCCCCGTGAGCTCCTGCACAAGTGAAATAGCATTTACTGTAAAGCCTAAGGCCCAGCAGAACCTCTAGGACACGTGTGTGCACTTCACTGCAGATGAGAAACAGCAGCAGTGAGCAACAGGCCTATGCTCATGAAATGAAAACTTCATTTCTCTAGAAAGAATGAGAACGATCCTTTTCCTTCCACAGCCGGTGTTCAAAAAAGCATTTTCCAAAGTCACTGTCAAGTCTATAAAGTTGCCATCTTCACATTCGAAGTTCATTTCCTGGCTAATCTAGTCAGTGTTTCCTATGTGTTCACTCTGCAGAGACCGGGCCGGGGGGGGGGGGGGGAGTAAAACCAGCTTTTCAGGAGTTCTGTTCTAAGCTGTGTGTTCTTCCCACTGCGTTAATGCCCTCTCCAATGTCGAAGCTCAGCTTCTTTCAAGTGAGTTTCTGTAAGTGGAATGCTCCCTAGATGGCAAATCCCAGAAAAGTGCATGGTTGCCTAACTTTAAAACTGGCCGTGGGAGTGTGGGCATGGAACGTAGTGAGAATTCTCTCCCACAGGATGCCCAGGAATTGGAGTGTCTGCACTGGAGTTCCGGCTCCACTCCAGATCCCAGCTTCCTGCTAATGCAGCCCAATGGGAGGCAGTGGTGATGGGTCAAAGAGTTGGATTCCCTATAGCCACAGGTTTCCTAGCTGCACTGGGTTCCCAGCTCCTGGCAATATCTGGCTCTAGCCAGTTTGAGCCACTGTGGGCATTTGGGGAGTGATCCGACATGCAGTAGCTCTCTGTGCTTTTCTGTCTCCTCTCTAAATATGAGTAATAATTATGCCACTCTAGTGAGACAATCAAGGAACAGGCTGGGCACTAAACTGTATAAAAGATATGTGTTTCAGTAGATACCCAACATTATAATGCATAGGACTGGCAGATTACTACTGTGTGTATTTGAGGCTGTAGAGATGTGCCTGCTGTGTGGAGGACAGAATTCAGCCAACAGTGACCCTGGGCAAAGGCAGAAGGAGGATCTGGGGCTTGACAGCATTAGAATTAGGCGTAAAGATCAAATCTGAGACAGCAAATAACCCCAGGAAGTAGAAGACAGGCATTAACCGCAAGTCCCTTCTAAATAGAAAAAGTTTCTGTCTGTCTCCAAAGTCCATGTGGGTACAGCCAGGCAAGCCCAGCTCTGGCTTGCTACCCCCAAATCAAGGCACAGAGGCTGAACAAAGACCCACAGGGCTGCTCCAATAAGAGCTCAGAAGTCTCTCCTGGGAACATCCAGCAGGAACACAAAAAGCTTTTTGTTTGGAGCAGTCCAATCCTCCATCGCTAATTGGCAGGGTCCTTCCTTCTGGCCCTCCTTAGGCTGCTGGGAGCTGAGTGTGCAGCGTCTGTGTGTGTGTGTGCACATGTGTGTAGAGTGCGCGCATATGCAAATGCCCGCTCTTTCAGACAGCCATGGGAAATGACCCCTTGGAGTGTCTCCCTCCGTGCTAGCATTTCACAACACAGTGGCCCCCTACTGCGCATGAACCATCTTATAACCATCTTTCCTGTTTTCTCCCGTTCCGCTTATACTGTGGCTTAAGTGGCTCCCAAGTACTAATGTGTTTACTTTTCAGCTTCCTTTTTTACCATCTTCCCCAAAAGTCTGTCTATAAATAATAAAGAGTTTTACATAGTTAGCAGATTTTTTTTTAACCTCAAAACTTACAAAATCAAGAAAAGTTACCATTGTCATGGATTTGTAATTCTCAGCTGTTTGTGGTTTTAAGACAGGTTCATAGAATGAGGCTACTGATGCTTCCCAGTCAGCCTTGAGGTATCTGAGTCAAGGTCTTGATGGTTTTAACCTGACTTCTCTAACTGGAGCCACCTGGTAGAACAGCCCTTGTGCTTGCAGCTGTAGCTCCTTTCTTTCTCTGCCCCAGGCTCCCTGTGCCCTCAGGCTGGCTGCCCTGCTCTGCAGGGACCACACAGCTGCCCCCAGGCCCTGTGCCCCCACTCCGGGTGAATGGGGACCAGGCAGGAGAGACCCAGGAGCAAAGCACAGGCACAGCCCAGCAGCCCACTTCCTGGTGGCTTCTTTCTTCCGTCCCAGCCAGCCATGAGTCTCCTGCATCAACATTAGAGAAAGTGAGAGCTTTGTTTTGTCTTTTTTGCTTTGTTTTTCAGAGAGATGGTAAGATTTTTTTTTTTTAACTCACGCTAACATTGCCCTGACATGTTTCTCCCATTTTCCATTGTTGGTGCCCTGCTGGGTTTAGGGACGTTTTCTTTATGAAAAAGAAAACTAGGCCTTACAAATTATTAAAAGCAGGCACGCAAATCCACACAGTTTTCAATTCTTCAGGTCTATTCTTTACAAACATTCTGCTAATGTTAACTGCACCGCATGGTGGGGTAACTGCTTTCCTAAGATTTGCAATGGATTTGTGCTAATGTGTTCTGCTTTGAGCAGGCTCCGGTTTAAATCAATCCAGACCGTAATTAAGCCACACTGAAGAAATGTAACAGGATCTCACTCTGGGGGAGGGGACTTGGTCTATGTGACTTCATTTGAAACCCTCTCTATGCTTCCAGTAGGAGCTGTTCCCTGATAGAGCTCTTTGTGGTGCTGTGTGGTGTGTCCCTTCTGCTGCTGTGCCCATGTACAGGCACAGGCACACGGGTGTGTATACACATTAGGCGTAGCAATGCATGTCACATGTAAAGACCAAGTCTCCAAAGAATGGTGGGATAAGTGGGAAGGCATCTGCATAAACAGAATGAGTAGCAGCTCCTCCTGGTGAAAACAGAGACTATCATGTACTCAGGTTCCGGGAAGCACTGCTTCCCGAAGATCTTAAGGCATTAGGCTGGGATTCCATTAGAAAAATACATGGCGGGGATAGGGAGCAGTTAAGCCACTGCCTAGAAAGCTGGCATCTCCTATGGGCTATTCACATCCTGGCTGTTCAGCTCCCTGAAAATGCACTATGAAAATGCAGTGAAGATGGTCCCAAGTGTTTGGGCTCCTGCACCTATGTGGGAGATCTGGATGAAGCTCCTGCCTCCTTTGTTGGCTCAGTCCTGCCTGTTTTGGTTATTTGGAAAATTCTCTCTCTCCTCAGTCACTCTTTCAAGTGAAAAAAATAAATCAAAAATAATAAAAGAAGAAAAGAAATACCAGATCATTGGCTTAAAGAGGACTATATCAAGTGACTCCCGCAGTACTTGTTAACTGCCAATAATGTTTCCCAACACGATATCCAGAGACACATTTGGAATACTCTCAAAGCACCCCAAGGTGGCACTGAATTCAGGCACAAAGGCCCAAGACGTTGGCAAGCCTTTATAGTCCAAGAGGTACTAGCACACAAGGACATGCTTCATCAGCTGTGGTGCACAAGGGACTGGCCTTGTGGCCTCCAGTGGGGTCTTTCCCATTGGCCATTTTGTCAACATCAGCTGTCACTCACACTCTGTTTCTGAGAAAGCACACTAGAGGAGAGTTGTGTATTTCCAATTTTCACGAGTGTTTTCTCCTTCCCAGGAGGCTCTCTCCATCCCTACCCTTGCCTCCCCCACTTTGGATGATGGACACCGTCATGCACAGCATGTTTGGGGCTGCTTACGGCTTCGCGTAGACACAGCTTCTTAAGCTCCTCCAGCCGCTGGCGCAGCGTCTCCTCCAGAGCTTCCTGCCTGGATTTCAAGGCAGCTAGCATGTCTTTCTTGGCCGACTGTGAGCTGTCTGACTCCTGAGAACCTGTTAATAAACACAGAGGTTACTAGGCCGCTGGGGAGGGCAACACACATCTGGACCACTAATGAATTTCACTGGGGCCCGCTCTGTGGCTGTGGGACTTACCGCTAGAGTGGAGAGTGTGTGAAATAAAACAGGTGCTCAGTGCTCCGAGCATGAAGAGCGCATTCCAGAGCTGTGTGGAATTTACAACTAGTTGGAAAGACTGACACTTCTGAAAGGGAGTTTATCTTTCTTGATGATCTTAAGATATGTCACATATCCATTTGGACTTCACTAACAAATTTCAGTAGAAAGGAAAGGGGGGAAAGGAAAGTTCAGCCCCGAAGTTTGGACATTTAAAATTTTACTTTGTCCAGCAATATCTTTTCTCTCAATCCCATGTCTGTTATAAAAGTATTGACATTGCAAGCAGGAATAAAAATATTCCATGAACTACTTACCCAAAGAAAACCACTGTAAAGTGTTCTTATCTTACTTTTTCTTACCTCCCACCAGCATATATACATTTTTAAAAGAAAACCAGACTTCTGTTACATTTTTAAATTGATATGGAATCATAGGCAAATTCTCTGCCAGTAAAAGTAATATGTTCACATACTTTCCTGAATAAAATATCTGCATGACTCAAAAGACTGCTACATATGAAACCCATAAACATACAGAAAATCAGCTGAAATGCCAACTGTATGAATTTAGATTAGACAAAAAGAATTTTGGAGCCTTAATGTTTGGATCCTGAAATCTGTTCTGAAAACTACTGTTCCTTTTCTACCTTGAGAGGTCTCAAAAGTATACCAGCTCCCTGAAAAAAGACCAGGTTATTATTGCTTTTCTTTTCACACACACGGTGAGTGTGTTAGGAATGAACAGGTGTAATTGGGTGTTCATTCCGGAGGCTCAGACCATACAACTGACGACGGCATCCAACAACTGCACATACTAGACAGTTTAGTCTACTTAGAGAGGTAAAGGAGCCCTTCAGTGAAGATTCTCTGCTGAGAAAAACAAAGGCCTGGTAACAGACATATACTGTGGTTATGACTTGGAAGTCGGATGTTATAAAAATGTTGATTCTCTATCAATTAGTTGAATCAATGCAATCCCAATAAAACTCCCAGCAGTTTGGGACTAACTAATCCTATTCCTTTTTCCTCCAATGATGAGAGGCATCTCAGAATCACAAGGCTAGAAAGAACTGCTTTGCACCAGACAGGTCTGCCATCCTCAAATTACCCTCATAAATACACTTGCACCTTTCTGCTCCTTGATTTGAAGTCTCTGAGCAGGAAACACACATTCCTGCAATCACAATTCATCTAGGTTCTTGAACTCTGATCACCACAAATGCCCAATGTGTAAGTACATCGTGGCTCTGACTGGGCTTTTTTTTTTTTTTTTTTTTTTTAGATTTATTGGCAAGGTGGGTATACAGAGAGGAGGAGAGGCAGAAAGATCTTCTGTCCGATGATTCACTGCCCAAATGAATGCAACAGCCGTTACTCGCCAATCAGGAGCCAGGAGCCTCTTCTGGGTGTCTCACGTGGGTGCAAGGTCCCAAGGCTTTGGGCCGTCCTCCACTGCTTTCCCAAGCCACAAGCGGGGAACAGGATGGGAAGCAGGGCTGCCGGGATAAGAACCGGCACCCATATGGGATCCTGGCGCGTGCAACGTGAGGACTTTAATCACTATGCTATCGCGCCAGGCCCTCCGACTGGGCTTTGTTCTTTTCCTTCCCCATGCTGTCTGAGCTTAAAATAGAGAATATCTATCATTGCAAGGACATAATTGTATTTATGCCTTCACAGTAGCTAATAAATAGTAGCCTGGTGACAAAATGTTAAGTGTTCTCTACTTGGATGCTCTAATAAAGCTGGCTGTCCTCTTGGTAATAAAAAGCCTAGGACCCCAAAACATTTCACTGGAGAGCCACAGCAAACTCGAAAGAAAGCTTGACTCTCACTGAGACTCCATTACACATCATGTTTCCCTTATACCAAACCCACATGCTGACCTGCTCAGGTAACACATCACTGGGCATTAGTGCAGGTGCCCCTTTTCTGAAATGATTTGGGTTTTCTACTTCCGTAAGCCAACTATCCCACACTTATCAACACTAAACTACCTCTAGTCTGTATGTATCACAGGCCATGTGGCTAAATCATCTCGAATCTTAATCTGTATCCTTGGTAGTAGTCACCACTCACATTTAGACACAGGAAAATTCAGAGGCGCACTCTGATGCATTGTTGAAAGAATTAATAAGAAGGTAAAATAATACTAGGAGGAAGTCAAGACTTTCAGTATAAAAAACAGTCCTGGGGAAACTTGGGTCCAAGAAGATTAAAGGATTTCTTGCTCTAGTGAAAAATCCATTGTTTTCTCCCTTTCACCTCTGCCTAACCTCACAATAGGAAATGATGATTTATTAAGTAAAATCTAAGAATTACCCACATGCAAGAATGGCCAAGCTCACAACCGCATTAAACCTTGGGAGGTAAGGCATGCAATTTTTGGATGATTGGGTTTCCAGTTATGGGATTAGTTACGATTTGGCCTTGAGTTACAGGGCTCATTAATGCTGCCTAAATTATTATTATTTATAATAATTAGTCTAAATACCAAACCCACATAAGACGGGTTAGAGAATCTTGGCACACTAGATGGCGCGGATCTCCTAGTTTGGCACCAGTAACACTGGCTGGCTTCCCACCTTTAGCCTGGAAATGGCTGCAGGAGACGTATGGTTCCTGAGTACTAAGTTAAGAATGCTGCAAAGTCTCTGAGCCTGCCTGGCCTGGACACGCACAATTCCATCCTACTGGTAACAGGATGCGGAGTAGATCTGGTTCTGATAAAGTCTAAACTACTCACGAGACCAGTGACCTCAAGCAAGTGACTTGTTCCTCTGAATTCACTGTAAAGATCACACGAGATAGGACTTAGACCTTACCTAGAACAGGTAAACCCTTAACTTAGGGTAGATAAATATCCACGTATACACACACACAAGATTGAAAGACATCATTGGAACTGCCTCTTCACTGATACTCAAGGAAGTACTGGTTAAAGAAAGAACTTGACTCTGCAGGTCAGTGTAAATTTGGGCTCTGAAAGCCCCATTCACAAAGGAGCAGCAAAGGCTTAGGCGTTGTGTTCTTGATGTCCTGGGTTGGCAAAGAAACCTCAAGGGCTGTCTCAGAGGAAGGAGGGAAAGGCATCCTGGAGATTTTGTGGCCTGAAGTTCCTCCTCCATTCTCCTCAAGCTAGAGCAGTTCCACTGGAACCTGTTTCAGGTATGCAGGCTGCAAGGTTGCATTTGAAAAGAAGAACCCACTGTTAAGCAGAGGAAGTCCTCTTCGGAGGAGGGGGGTCACTTTTGAGTTGCAGTGCCTTCCCTATGGCAGAGATTGTGTGCTCTGAGCTCATGGACTGTCACCTGCAACTAGCCAACACAGCTACCATGAGGAGGAGAGAATAAGTGCCCAGGAAGCACCCTCAGAGACACAAAGTCATGGGAGGGGGAGCCTTGCATGCTCTTTCCATTGTCCACAGGTGTTCCCTTCAGTCCTCATGGGACATCATGACTCCAGCAAGAAACTGAGTCAGTGGAAAGCCTTGGGGCTCAGGTCAGTGGGAGCTGCACATACAGGTCAAAAGCATATGGAAAATGGTTCTAGACAGAATAATCGCAGCTCAGCACATGGACTTGGGCAATGAATGAAGGCTCCTGGTTTCTGTAATTTATCCATTTCCGGTTATTTGAAAGTGCATATGTCTTTGCACCCATAAGACCTCTCCAAGATCATATGTTTAGCCCCGTGGGGAAAAAATAAAAAACAAAGAGGAAAGGCAGGCACTGTGGCACAGCACATTAAGCATTCTGCTTCTGAGCCTTAGGTGCTCCACTTCCAGTCTATCTCTCTGCAAATGCACCTGGGAAAGCAGGTGCAGGAAGAAGGAAGACCTCAGTGTTTGAGCCCTGCCACCCATGTGGGAGACCTGGATGGAATTCTGGATTCCTGGCTTCAGCCTGGACTGGCCCCAGCCATCACAGCCCTTTGGGAAGTGAACAAGCCAATGAAAGGTCTCTCTGTGCTGCTGCTTTCTGTGTCATTCTGCCTTCCAAACAAATAAATCTTCTGTAAAAAAAAATGCTTCTGTTAAAAAATAATAATAAAGGAATTAAAGGACACAGATGCAGCACATGAGAGAGGCAATCACTGATAGGAAAGACATGGGTTTTTACTCACACATCTGCTATGAAGTAGGGTAGGCCCCGTGTCAGAGACCTCATGGAGTCACCATATCGTGACTACCTGATCTCCAAGATTTCTCCACCAGAAGAGTCTGTTACTAAGTAAGCAGACTCAGGGAGTTCCTTTTGCTGCCATCAGTCACACTGGAAAGGGACATCTGCGCTACACAGTCTTCCCCTGCTGCACCATCCGGGCCTTTAGGAAGGACAAGCATTCTGCCAATTCCGTCCTTCCTGCAGCAACCACTGCAGCCCCCTCATGGGTCAGAGGGCACCTTGAATTACCACCTGGAGCCTGTACATTCACCTTTCCTCTTCTCTACAGCCCAGGGCAAGGCTGTGCAAACATGCCTGCTGTCTAGGATATGAACACAGGAGGATGAAGGATGGAGCCAATTTCTGTGCCTGAAGGAGGGAGTTATCAAAATGTACAGAATGGAAATATCAGTAACAACTGCTACTTTTCAAAGGGCTGCGCAAGCATCAGGAGTCAAGGCAGGAGGTAGAGACGATTAAGAGACATTTGAAAGTCACGTGTGACACCCGAGAAGTTTTTGGTTTTAATGCAATTTCAAGCAACACCCAGGCCTTAGGAAAGAGTTTATAGTCAGAAAACTGCACAGTGAGGTTTTTATCTTTCTACTTACTGTTTGTTGAATTCGACATAATGGAATATTAACCTGCAACTATCAACTCAAAGTATGTCACTGTAAAAACTTAGAAAAAAAATGGAGGAAGGGTGTGA